TTACAACCCCTGACTTTATTTACTGCTCTCCATATGTCTTTAAGGTTCTTAGTATTACCAATGGCCTGAGCAAAGTCTTGCCAGTATCTGTCCCGCGCCTCCTTCCTCACCTGACTGCATTCCCTAGCCACTTCCAACATTGTATTTTTCTCTTCATCCCTCATTCCATTTTTTAACCATGCTTTATGCGCACCCCGTAGCATTCTCTCCCATCCCTTGACTTGCTGATCATTGGAATATTTAAATTTCTTAGGTCCGTGCGTCTTGCTTCCCCTGCCCCCGTTATTTTCCCTCTGTACTAATTTCTCTATGTTCTCGACCATGTCCTCGTAAAAACTATCAACGCAGAGCGGCGTGTAATGTTGATACCAATCTCCCATATTTTGAATAAAATAATTTTTCATATCTTTCTTAATATTTAGCCTTTTCCTTTGAAAGTGGACTTGTTTTTTCCCCAGTGGTAATTCAACGTTCAAGGCAAAGTGGTCACTAAGTAGTTCCCGAACAACCCGAGCCTCCCCCATAATCCCCTGAGAGTTTAAAACGCAGGCATAGTCAAGCCGTCCTCCCCTGATGTGAGTTGGTTCATTGTTTCCCAATAGACAGGTATCTGGATGATCTTGTAGAAACTGTAACCACTTGACCCCATTAGTATTAATACTACCCACTGTCCCAAGGCTTGTGTGCCGAGCATTAAGGTCCCCAATGACCAGTGAAGGATTAGTATAAATGCAGTCAGGTAAATAGTTAGCGTCGAAGCAGTTCCTGGATACATACAAATTAACTACAATAAATTCCCCTTCCCTTAATGATAATTTAACACAAACACTCTCTATACCTTGCGTTTTTGATGGCGGTTCTACTAACTCTGCTGGTATGGAGTTCTTAACATAAATCGACGTGCCTCTGATGTTATTTGCAGCGAAGAGGTGAAACCCTTTATAGCCATTTAATTTCAATAATCCTTCATTCCTATCCCCTGTCTCCTGGAGAGCTACAACATCAATATCATTTCCCATCACATAACAATGAACATCTGTAACCCTGTTTCTCAAACCATTAACATTCCATGACAACACTTTCAGTCTAGGGTGATCCATTATTAATCAATTCATTGCCTAAGTCATCCCCAATAAGTTCACTAAATGATAGCCATACCTTGTATAACATCTCCCACCTCCTCCCAAGTTCACCAGTAAAAGCGACATTGCGATTCTCAAGAGATTTTTTCAGCCCTGAGATGTCCATTATTGGCCCAAATGATTCCTTCATTTTATGTGTAATTATAGGGTTCTTCCTTTCACTACGACTACCATCATTCACACACACTTCACTTTCCTTCATTTCATCACTCAATATTTCATTTTTGTCCTCAACCACTATATCCTGACTATCCTTCACCGTTGTGTGATTTTCCTTGACCTCCTGAACGTTTAATTTAGCCTCGATGGACTCGATTCTCTGCCCCAGATTTTGGAGGAACTCACCAACTTTTTTAAGTTCAGCCCACACTTCCTTGACCATATTATTATGACCCTCTCTCTGAGCCACAGTAGCCACTTCACTCACCGTTACACTGTCACTGCCGGAGTCCTGAGTGGTGGCGTGGCTGCTTGTTGCTGGAGCCTGCCTAAGTAAAGGTGACTCCTTTACCCACGCATTCGTCCGGTTCACTGGCACTGTTTGGGGCAGACTGTTTTGCTGTGCTCCCGGTGTCTGGGTAAGAGCTCTTGCTTGCTCTGTAACATTCACCGGCCGGAGAACAGCCATACTCGGCCTCTTGCTACACACAGCCGAGCTCGCATTGTGAACACCTCCACAGTTGCAGCATCTGGGAACTATTTTCTCACCCAGATTCAGTCTGTTTCTACACACAGTAGAGAGGTGAGACTTTCCGCAGAAACGACATCGTGGATCATTTTGACATCTCCAGGATTTATGCCCCCATCTGCAGCATTTCAGGCATATTATGGGCTCTTCCACATACTTTGCTACATGCCTGTAGCCAGCCCCGGTGATGAACACTTTTTCGGGTACGTCACCTCTCACTAGAGCCACCACCTGACTCCTAGCTTCACCTTTAATAAGGTGACGCTTGGCCCACACAAATCGTTGGTCGTCGAGTATAAACTCGGGGTCCAGAATCTGAGGGTATTTATAGATAATTACCTTCGTCAGCTTCTCGTTCCCCTCCGGTATTTCCATAAGAATTCCATCGTATCCTTGCTGGGTAAGATACTCCACTGCCTCCATAGAACCTACCGTTAAGTAAGGTCTGTTTACACCTTCCTTCAGCAGGGGCTCGAACTTGCGGTGTTCTCTTCCGAGTTTGACGGTCCACAGCAGCTTCTGATGATAGACCAGCGTGCATGAGGCAGGGAAGAGAAGCCTCCATCTCCGCTGATCCTCACCTTCCTGACATCGTTCCGTCCGTTTGTCTGCATCAGTCTCGGCGTCGTTCTTCATTCTTTTATCGTTTCCGTTAAGTGTATTACTGTCCACACTGCGCCTTGCCTCCTGTCTTCTTCGTTTCTTCTTATTCCTTGTCAGAACTTCTAGATACTCGCCCTCCTCGTCTGACTGGCTGCTTTCAGGGTCCATGTTAATAACGCCGTGATAAGTAGCCATGTCTTCTGGTGACTGAGTCTCCATCTCAGTACCCAGCATGGGGGGAGGGGGGGGGGGGAAGGTGCGGAGCAGGTATCTTGACCCGACCGCGTCCCAGGTAAGACTCCACCTGGCACAGGAGCGGGGCAAGTAGCACGGGCTATGGTGAGCCCGTAACTTACCTGGCACAGGAGCGGGACAAGTAGCACGGGCTATGGTGAGCCCGTAACTTACCTGGCACAGGAGCGGGGCAAGTAGCACGGGCTATGGTGAGCCCGTAACTTACCTGGCACAGAAGCGGGGCAAGTAGCACGGGCTATGGTGAGCCCGTAACTTACCTGGTACAGGAGCGGGGCAAGTAGCACGGGCTATGGTGAGCCCGTAACTTACCTGGCACAGGAGCGGGGCAAGTAGCACGGGCTATGGTGATTGATTTTGATTGTTGCCGCCGAAGGCGGCTAGTTTATTGTGCACCCCATACTCATCCTGTGAGCGGTAGCGCAAAAGCATTACAGAGGGCACAAAAAGTCTTTATCAGACCTCATGTTAGATTATTACATAAACAATTTCATCTATCCTTCACACCTTATAGTTACAATGTCAGCTAGTTACAGAGAAAGTGCTATTACAAGAGATACATATTTACAGTAAGTCATCATACATTAATGGTAGGTCTTATCGCTAATAAATATAATAAATAAATGTTTATTTAGGTAAGGTACATACAAGAGATTTTACAAAGTTTGTTGGATTAATAAATAGAGCTAGTACATACAATGCCTAAAGCCACTATTACGCAAAGCGTTTCGGGCAGATACTTAATAGTTTGACCAATGGGGATATTACAGAGTCATAGGGGAGCTTCTGTTTATTATTAGTCCTCACAATACACTACTTGTTTCTGAATCTCATATGTCGTTCATCTACTGGAAGCGAAATGTGGATACAGTGCAAGGATTTCAGGTAATTTATCTATGGTAATAAGATAGGTTGCCATATTATACAGAGTGAGCTTAGATTTATCTCTAAATGGTGACCCCGTAGTGGACTTACCTGGCACAGGAGCGGGGCAAGTAGCACGGGCTATGGTGAGCCCGTAGTGGACTTACCTGGCACAGGAGCGGGGCAAGTAGCACGGGCTATGGTGAGCCCGTAGTGGACTTACCCGGCACAGGAGCGGGGCAAGTAGCACGGGCTATGGTGAGCCCGTAGTGGACTTACCTGGCACAGGAGCGGGGCAAGTAGCACGGGCTATGGTGAGCCCGTAAAGTGGCTATTCGATAGATTGATTGATAAAGATTAAGCCACCCAAGAGGTGGCACGGGCATGAATAGCCCGTAAGTGGTGGCCCTTATGAGCCATTACCAGTATCAAAAGATGATACTGGAGATCTGTGGAGGTGCGACTGCACCCTGCGTGACGGGAGATGTCTCCCACACAATTGATGAAGATTAAGCCATCCAAAAGGTGGCACGGGCATGAATAGCCCGTAAGTGGTGGCCCTTTTGAGCCATAACCAGTATCAGAAGATGATACTGTAGATCTGTGTAGGGGCGAGTGCACCCTGCGTGACGGGAGATGTCTCCCGTGTCCAAATGGATGAATGTGTCCAAGATTGATGAAGATTAAGCCATCCAAAAAGTGACACGGGCATGAATAGCCCGTAAGTGGTAGCCCTTTTGAGCCATTACCAGTATCAAGAGCTGATACTGGAGATCTGTGGAGGTGCGACTGCACCCTGCGTGACGGGAGATGTCTCCCCCGTCCTGGCTATTCACTTTCCGCTTGCTTATATTTGGTGACTTCACCTCAGCTTCCTCCACCAGGATGGAAAGAATGTTACCTGTAATTAGGGAAAGGATTTGAGTAGTCATAATTAGTACTAATTGGTTTGTCATTAAGGTAATGAGAGATTGGAGCGAGAATAAGGTTTACTCGCTACAAGTGGCTTTAGGCATATTATATACTAGCACTATCTAGTAATCCAACATTCTGTTTGTAACTCAACAGCATGTATGCACTTTTACCTGTATAAACATTTATTTATTTATTTGCTTTATTTATTTAGGTGAACAAATATAAATCTTCTGCTCTTTTTACATTATAGATGCTTCATATCTTCCTAATATAATAATGTGCATGGAAAAAACAATGTATATATCTGGCGATGAGTCACAATAACGTGGCTGAAGTATGTTGACCAGACCACACACTAGAAGGTGAAGGGACGACGACGTTTCGGTCCGTCCTGGACCATTCTCAAGTCGATTGTGAATGGTCACAATCGACTTGAGAATGGTCCAGGACGGACCGAAACGTCGTCGTCCCTTCAATTTCTAGTGTGTGGTCTGGTCAACAATGTATATATCTCACTGGTCTGTTACCCACCAGACATGCCTTACCAAGAGCTCAGTCGCCAGTTGCCTTCACTGTTGGCAGAATCCGAAGTGAGGAACGACACTCAAGGTGACAACCCATTATTATTCTACCCAGGGACACGACTCCAGCTCCTGAACGGCTCTGTACCCTTCATCCCCTGCCAGGTTAGTTTCTGCTGGTCCTCACTACCAGTCTGTCAGCTCTTGCCTTACTGCACTTTATTCGTTTGCCTTGTTCGGGTAGAAGGTAGACACAGTAGTCGCTTCTGTATATATTTATTGACCGAGACAGCAAGGTATATATCTGCCTAGCCGAGGTCCTTCTACTCTGAGTCTCTGTGGAGAACTGCGGCTGCTGGGAGCATGGCTTGATGCTCCTCTGTCTGGCATGACGTCAGAGGCCTACTAGCCTGTGATTGGTTACATTTCAACTGACAGAATTTGAGTATAACAACTTTCCTCACCTTCTTCTTCACTACAAGGGTCCATGTTTGCTTTGTTATTAGTTTTTATCAATTATCAGTTATAGTAAAAGTTAGCAATTTCAGTTCATGACGTTTTGGGGGATTTTATATTTCATTGCATTTCTATTTTATGTGTTCTTGTTTTCTAGTTATAGCTTTAATATTTACATGAACAAACAATAAAACTTTGAACATGTCAAATGTAGCCCGGTGGTGATGTGCAGTGTAGAGAGGAAGGTCATAGGCACCAGCACCTGGAACGCTGTCATTGCGGACTTCCATGTCACCTAAATTCACCAAGGGCCACCTAAATCACCACAGTATTCATAAGGGTGATAATTAGGAAAAATACAACTAGTTAACACCCTTAGTACTGCTACCATCGCCGACACCACAACTATGCCAGAAACTTGAGTAAGGAATCACCCGGACGCGTGATCCAAGCGTTTTGTTGGAGCTCCAAGCTCCAACAAAAAACATAAAAGCAAGATGACAAACGATCCCTGGTGGATCACAACTGTGGATCCTCATCTTTTACTCAAGAGTGCATCTCCTCTCTGACAAATTATCCTCATAGGCAAGTAACACTTCCTCTGACAGGTCACCCAACGAACTAACATCTTGGCGAACACACTAACCTATAATTTTTACATATAATCTGTTGCTCTCGCCACAGTCATACTATTATCTCTCTCTCAAATATTATTTCTTATTCAATATAAACACGGCTTATTAAGGTCATTGAGCATTAGTATATATCACTGAGCAAGTCTTCTTACAGTTCCTGGCAAACAAAAGCTCTTACTGCTCAATCATGAGGCGAAGATGTTTATCTTCAGAAATCAAGATGGCGTCTGGTGTTTACCTTCCTCCAGGTCGTTCACAAATCTTCTCTCGACTTTCACTATCGAATTTTCTCATCCTGACTGGCGTGTGGAGGTCACACACTGCACACACACAGGCACCAACTTTAGCCCACCTGTCACATTGTCCTCACCTGGAACACACAAAACCTCTTGTAGGTTTACCACGGTGGACACCAGGGCCATTAATCTTTCATTGGCTTCAGAATGTCGCTCCTGGGTTCACAAATTGAGGCTGATCATCCACTTCTCCCTGACACACCTTCCCTCTGTCACAGTTCCATGGCACTTCTCTCACCAATGCTGAAGCACTAACACCTCAAACTGGAAAAGCGAGGAAAAGTGCGCTACCTCCTTGATCCTGCACTCACAAGTGACATCTTCACCAATCGTAGACCCTCTGCTTATGACACGTCACGACCTAGCTTCCTCCTCATTGGTCAATGATGATGTCATCCATCTCCTTCCTAATTGAGAAAGTCTCTCGTCGTCGCCATGTTTCCTCTCCACCTAAACAGTGCACTCTGATAAACAAATGCCTCTAACCAAACCTTCCAAGCAACTTCTATTTACACAGTAGACTGAGCTGTACATCCGTTTTCCGTCAACAGTATGCTTGGGGGGTGAGTATCTCTCATCCAAGACAGGATATAGGCCATGAGGCTTTCGGGGTTCATAACAGGTCTCCACCCTACGTCAGAAGATATACTCCCCTCATCATCTTCCTCCCTTCTGTAGGTGCGTCAGTACGAGGCCAGGGAGGTGGGGGCGTGCAGCGCGGCGAGGAAGGCCGCAGGCACCAGCACCTGGGTCGCGCTCATTGGGGACTCCTCCCAGAGGCAGAAGATGCACTCCTTCCTCAGTTTCCTTCCTCAAGAGTTGACATACACCTACTTTATCGGTGAGAGAGAGGTGAGTGGTTGTTGCATCACAGTTGTAATCTCAGATAAAACATACAAACAATGAAATAACAAACTAACAAACAAAATATTTAAAATATTGTGTATTTTTTCAAGAGACGTCCGAGTATAACTAAATCTTATAAGGTGTGTTAGCATTATTAAGGTCTAATGGTTGACAAACATTGTCTCTACTGAAGTGGACAAGAACTGGCTCATATTCAAAGTCAATTCTAAATAATTTTATTGTGTTGTCAGTAAGAGAAGTCTCCGTGGTGTAGTGGTAAGACACTCGCCTGGCGTTCCGCGAGCGCTATGCCATGGGTTCGTATCCTGGCCGGGGAGGATTTACTGGGCGCAATTCCTTAACTGTATCCTCTGTTTAACGCAACAGTAAAATGTGTACTTGGATGAAAAAACGATTCTTCGCGGCAGGGGATCGTATTCCAGGGACCATAGGATTAAGGACTTGCCCGAAACGCTACGCGTACTAGTGGCTCTACAAGAATGTAACAACTCTTGTATATATCTCAAAAAAAAAAAAAAAAAAAAAAAAGAGTGTATAACACCAGCTCAACGTTGCTGCAATGTATCATTAAATATACCAGTGTTGCTGCTTTATTTTGATACAGGAGAACGTCGCTGTCACCAAGGAAGGCAATTTATTAATATATTATTTATGATGTAACGGACTTTGTGTTCGGCCTAACAAATGCAGTTACCAGTTACCAGTGTCAAGATACAATACAGGTTGTAATTACGAACAGTAAAATACAATATCTACTGTAACTCTACTTGCTGTAATATGAACAATTAAAGTCAAATTGAGATATATAAAATCAAACAATATTAAAAATGAAACTATGTAAATGGTATAAAGAAATGACAAATAACAACATTGACAAATGAAAAATGAGCAATTTAAACCGGTAGTATAAACAAGGGAAAACAATTAAAAACCTCTGGATGACAAAGCTATGTACACTTAGGGAAGCCGGTCGGCCGAGCGGACAGCACGCTGGACTTGTGATCATGTGGTCCTGGGTTTGATCCCAGGCGCCGGAGAGAAACATTGGGCAGAGTTTCTTTCACCCTATGCCTCTGTTACCTAGCAGTAAAATAGGTACCTGGGTGTTAGTCAGCTGTCACGGGCTGCTTTCTGGGGGTGGAGGCCTGGTCGAGGACCGGGCCGCGGGGACCCTAAAAAAAAACGAAATCATCTCAAGATAACCTCAAGATAACCATTGGTTTCTAAACGAGACAGAGAGAGTTCAGTGTTAGAAGTAGATAAGGAAAGATCTGAGGTGGGCCTCAGTGGTTATTGCAAGGTTTTCCCAGTGTCAGTCTTCTTAGCTAGATACTTATTGTTTAATGTTAAGTGTTTACTCTATTAAATGTCAATCATCCATCATAAGGTCCATCCATCATGAAATTTGAATAATTATTTTTTTCAGTTTTTCCTTAATACTGGATTGATGAAGTATCAGTTCCCGTTGTCTGGGACAGTAGGTCTATATTTACATTTGTATAGCGTCTCTCCAGGATGCAGTCCTGTTGCCTAACTCCTTACTTGTTTTCATATTTATACTAGGTTAACAGAGACATCTGGTGAGACAAAACGTGCCCAACTATGTCTGTCCTGCCCGGGGACCGAACACGAGATCCTCGAGTGTGAGTCGAAACTATTATACTACAGGTCCTATCCATATGACAACGTCTCAACTAATATGTTTTTAAATGTCTTGTTCCAGGTAACAACAGAGAACTTTTTACTGGCAGTCTCTCACAATGAACACAGACCTTCAACTTACGACATTTTCGGCCGTCGGCCGTCCAAGACAGCTCCCCCAACACCCACATCAACCGTCAGCCAAGAACCAAATACAATGACTACAACGTCCAGGACGTCGTCCTCACCAACCACTCCGTCGTCCCGCCCACAGACAACAAGTGAGGCTCGCCACCCTGCTCGCAGTGGCCGCAAGCTTCACCAACGTGGCAGTAGCCAACCCAAACATGACAACTTTAACGCACAAAACACACATAACACTTCACCAGAGCTGGACAAACACGGAATAAACACCACCCACGAAGAAAGTTTTATAAAAATCTCAAAAAACATGAAATTAAAATATTACGTTACCAACTATACAGCAAACGTCGAGTATTCTGTGAAAACGTTACTGGAAGCGGACATCCATCTCCCCTCATATGAGCTGCGCCTTACGCTGGTGTGGGCCCCTAGTGTCTCTAAGAGAGATAATCCCCTTAAACCAAACAGCGAACCGGTAACCAAGTTGAAGGACCTAGCCACAGCTAAGGTGGTGCCTGATGTCATAGTTTTAGGTAAGACTCTGCAGTGTACGTTTGTCTCTCTGTGTTGTGTGTAGGTGAGCCTGTCTGTGGTGTGTGTAGGTGAGCCTGTCTGTGGTGTGTGTAGGTGAGGCTGTCTGTGGTGTGTGTAGGTGAGGCTGTCTGTGGTGTGTGTAGGTGGGGCTGTCTGTGGTGTGTGTAGGTGAGGCTGTCTGTGGTGTGTGTAGGTGAGGCTGTCTGTGGTGTGTGTAGGTGAGCCTGTCTGTGGTGTGTGTAGGTGAGGCTGTCTGTGGTGTGTGTAGGTGAGGCTGTCTGTGGTGTGTGTAGGTGAGCCTGTCTGTGGTGTGTGTAGGTGAGGCTGTCTGTGGTGTGTGTAGGTGAGGCTGTCTGTGGTGTGTGTAGGTGAGGCTGTCTGTGGTGTGTGTAGGTGAGCCTGTCTGTGTTGTGTGTAGGTGAGGCTGTCTGTGGTGTGTGTAGGTGGGGCTGTCTGTGGTGTGTGTAGGTGAGGCTGTCTGTGGTGTGTGTAGGTGGGGCTGTCTGTGGTGTGTGTAGGTGAGGCTGTCTGTGGTGTGTGTAGGTGAGGCTGTCTGTGGTGTATGTAGGTGAGGCTGTCTGTGGTGTGTGTAGGTGGGGCTGTCTGTGGTGTGTGTAGGTGAGGCTGTCTGTGGTGTATGTAGGTGAGGCTGTCTGTGGTGTGTGTAGGTGGGGCTGTCTGTGGTGTGTGTAGGTGAGGCTGTCTGTGGTGTGTGTAGGTGAGGCTGTCTGTGGTGTATGTAGGTGAGGCTGTCTGTGGTGTGTGTAGGTGGGGCTGTCTGTGGTGTGTGTAGGTGGGGCTGTCTGTGGTGTGTGTAGGTGAGCCTGTAAGTTACCGTCAAGTGTAACTAATCTAAGTTAGCTATAAACTGAAAATTGTTAAATAACTTTACTGATTGTAACAGTTGCAACAAGAGGAAATTTTTTAATAACAAAAATAAACTTAAAATTATAAAGTTTATTTAGATTTTTAGTCAAATTTAAATTATTAGTAATAAGTGACATTAATATTATTATTACTATACCTTTAAATGTGAATTTATTATAAAAAAGGTAATTGGCATTTGAATTCGAGAAAACGTTCCCAGAAAGTTGGAAACTGCATTACTCCCTTTAATATAAGAGTTTGTATTCTACGATAAATTTCCCCCTCTGGGCATGCAACTTTCGTCCGCCATATTGAAAAATGGCATCGCAAATTAGTTTTTATCAAATATCTCGTTTTGTCTCGGTTTTAGCCAAATAGGTAACAAATTGTTTTTTGAAAGGAATTTAATTCTACACAAAGTGGTGCTAAGCCTGTTCAGTGCAGAGTTAACAGTTTCTCAGGAGAAGGGCTGGAGAGTCGAGAGGCTGCAGCCTCATCTAATGTAGAGGGTTTAGTCAGTGCATGATTATAGCAACGCTGTTGCTAGGGACACGGAGTGCGCTGTTGCTAGGGACACGGAGTGCACTGTTGCTAGGGACACGGAGTGCACTGTTGCCAGGGACACGGAGTGCACTGTTGTCAGGGACACGGAGTGCACTGTTGCCAGGGACACGGAGTGCGCTGTTGCCAGGGACACGGAGTGCACTGTTGTCAGGGACACGGAGTGCACTGTTGCCAGGGACACGGATGCACTGTTGCCAGGGACACGGAGTGCGCTGTTGTCAGGGACACGGGGTGCACTGTTGCCAGGGACACGGAGTGCACTGTTGCCAGGGACACGGAGTGCGCTGTTGCTAGGGACACGGAGTGCACTGTTGTCAGGGACACGGAGTGCACTGTTGCCAGGGACACGGATGCACTGTTGCCAGGGACACGGAGTGCACTGTTGTCAGGGACACGGAGTGCACTGTTGCCAGGGACACGGAGTGCACTGTTGCCAGGGACTCGGAGTGCACTGTTGTCAGGGACACGGAGTGCACTGTTGCCAGGGACACGGAGTGCACTGTTGCTAGGGACACGGAGTGCACTGTTGTCAGGGACACGGAGTGCACTGTTGTCAGGGACACGGAGTGCGCTGTTGTCAGGGACACGGAGTGCACTGTTGTCAGGGACACGGAGTGCACTGTTGCTAGGGACACGGAGTGCACTGGTGCCAGGGACACGGAGTGCACTGGTGCCAGGGACACGGAGTGCACTGTGGCGGTGTGTGCTCCACATGTGGACATCCCTTCCTTGCCATCCATGTAAACATTGTTTCTTTGGATACGGCAGCCATATATAGTGAAAAATAGTTCTTTTAAACCACGACCTGCCATCATGTTTTCTATAACTTCCCTAATGACATTAACGGGTACAAACCACCAAGTGTGACTGTTACTTTACTCAGTAACAGCCAGACTATTGTGTCCCGCGAGTTGATGTAAAGTGGCTGATCGAACGTCACAATACAACTGTCCTCACCTAATTGTGCTTGCGGGGGTTGAGCTTTGGCTCTTTGGTCAGGGTATGACCAAAGATATACCCAACACAAAGGTATACTGTGTTGGGTATTAGAGTCACAGCTGTTTGCTGCAGGGAACACTTCAGTATGAATTGTGTCTATGAATAAGACTATCGAATCAAATCAAATCAAATGCTTTTTCAGGTAAAAGTAGATACATAGTAGGCATCCTTCAGTCTCAGGAGACTATACCTTGTTGATACCTGGTTGATGGGGTTCTGGGAGTTCTTCTACTCCCCAAGCCCGGCCCGAGGCCAGGCTTGACTTGTGAGAGCTTGGTCCACTAGGCTGTTGCTTGGAGTGGCCCGCAGGCCCACATACCCACCACAGCCCGGTTGGTCCGGCAACTATGGAGTTGCGATCTGGTTGTCGGTCTGGAAAGGCCTTTCCAGGGCGCAAAGCCATGGGTAGGTTAAAAGGAGGAGAAGCTGTGACTTGTTCCATAAAACCATTTCATCCTGGAAGTTAAAACAACTCTCTCCACTTACCATAAAGCAACAGGAAATCTGTTGACAGTAGCTCCGCTTGCATTGAAGAATGATGTGTTGCATAAAGGTCTTATATATGAATTTTAGCTAATCCTGAGTGTTTAGTTTTCTGAAAGAAACCTGCAGATACAAGACCCAATTCTCCAACAACTTTTGAAAGACAGCCTCACCTACACACACCACACAGGCACTTGGAATACTTTCTTGTTTGTCAATATTCCCAGCTGAAAATCCAGAAGTTGATGATTAATACACTGTATGCCACCTTTTGAATGAAATGTGTTGGTTCCATCTATCGTATCAATGTTAATGTCGGCGTTGTCTAAATTCTATTCCTAAACTAATTGAGAAAAGGATTCCGGTATCACTATATGTCATGGGTTTTCAAGGGCTGATGTTTGGAATAACTTAATTTCTTCATGTGGTGCACAAAACCCTAGAGCAGAGACAACTTTGCTTAACAATGCCCCAAGACCAGTTTGTACGTGACAAAGAAAATACTTTGAATTAGTCGCAGTAAGGATTGCATGTGCAGTTAACACTTAACATGGTTTAAGTTTTCCAGGGGTCCACAGCTCCTTTTTTCTTGAGATTTTAATAATTGAGAGATTCAAGGATATCAGTTTCAACAGTATCAAGGAACGCGATTTTGAAGGGTACTTACCAATTTCCTGTTATTTAGATCTAATATCCTCTCTTACGATTTCTGCATCAGTTTAAACTATACAAGACGTTGTTCCTTTTCGATCTTCTTTCGTGTAATATAAAAATTGTCTGTTAGAATCTAACGGCCGGCATCACGGAAACAAATGGTTGGTGCTATATTATGTTCAGAAGTAATAATGTATCTTCATCATAAATGATATAACGCCTCATCTTGATTGTCTTTCAGTTCGTACATATAACCTATACAATCTTGAAACACTTTATTGAATGAGAACTGACATTCTTCCCGATGTGCCTCCATATATGAACAAAAGTGTTCAGGCACGACTTTGCTCGTGAGGCATAGCAACCCGTCACAACTGCCAGCTTAATAATACTACCTTGCAGCGTACTCATGAAGATAAGAACCATGGAGTTAAAATTCACACTTCACAGAAAGTTGCAATCCTGGTCGGAGCAGCAGTAAAAATAAAAGCTAACCAAACCCGAGGAATAATCAGGAGTACCTTTGACTTTAAGGAAAAGAAGGTAGTGATTCAGTTGTATAAATCTCTGGTGTGCTCCCATGTGGATTACTTTACGGAGACCATGAAGCATGAAGACCTCATCTTCAGATGGACATAGCTGCTCTGGAGAAAGTGCAACAGTGGTTATCTTGAGATGATTTCGGGGCTTTAGTGTCCCCGCGGCCCCAGGAAGCAGCCCGTGACAGCTGACTAACTCCCAGGTACCTATTTACTGCTAGGTAACAGGGGCATTCAGGGTGAAAGAAACTTTGCCCATTTGTTTCTGCCTCGTGCGGGAATCGAACCCGCGCCACAGAATTACAAGTCCTGCGCGCTATCCACCAGGCTACGAGGCCCCTCAGTGGGCAACAAAAACCATACCAGAGGTAAGTTAACTCTCGTACCAGGGACGGTTGAGGACCACAGGGCTAACATGACTGCAAACCAGGCATGACAGGGCGGATCTCATTGAAACTTTTCAAATATTGAACAATTTGGAGGTTTTTGATACAAACAATTTCTTCAAAAGGTCAGATGTAACACAAACAAGGAGCAACGGTTTCAAGCTCAACAAGCCACAATATAGGACTGAGAACAGAATTATTATTATTAACATCTTTATTGACAAAATTAATTACAATTTTGCCTAATCTGAGGATTTTGATAGTCTTATTAAATTGAGGTTAATGCTAGTATTCACTGTCACGCAGGACAGAGGGTCATACATAAGACAATAGGTCTAAACTGTAGGCTGAAGCACATATATATCACGGTTACAATCAATGTTTTAATGTGTGGATATGTGAAAACAAACAGAAGATGCTTTTTCACCCATAGGGTTTTAAACTCATGGAACCGCCTACCCGCCGAAGCTGTAAATTCCAAAACTCTCTTAAATTTTAAAATCTAATTCGAAAAAAATCGTCAGGGCAAATGGGGGGACCTTTGACAAGCCACCGGCTTCCTGTTCTGACAGCTGAGTAGACAGCGCTTCAGATTTGTAGTCCTGAGGTTCCGGGTTCTATCCCCCGGTGGAGGCGGAAACAATTGGGCAGAGTTTCTTTCACCTTGATGCCCCTGTTCACCTAGCAGTAAGTAGGTACCTGGAAGCTAGACAGCCGCTACGGGCTGCTTCCTGGGGATGTGTAACAAAAGAGAGGCCTAGTCAAGGACCGGGCCGCAGGGACGCTAAGCCCCGAAATCATCTCAAGATAACCTCCTTCCTATAGGTACTACCAAAACACTAGGATGCACCGGGTAAATTCAGGTAAATGATGAACTACTTCAGTTACACATGTCCATCTACAGGTCTGCCCCTTCTGTGATGTTCGTGTGTAGACCGCTTCAAGAATTTTACCGAAGACACTCTATGATATTCTTGACCAGACCACACACTAGAAGTTGAAGGGACGACGACGTTTCGGTCCGTCCTGGACCATTCTCAAGTCGATTGTGAGAATCGACAACAATCGACTTGAGAATGGTCCAGGACGGACCGAAACGTCGTCGTCCCTTCAACTTCTAGTGTGTGGTCTGGTCAACATACTTCAGCCACGTTATTGTGACTCCTCGCCTGCACACTCTGTGATACCTTCCTTCTGCGCCAACTAATAATTCTCACACATTACTTATCCCCAGTGCCACTTCTGGGGCCAGATTCACGAAAGCACTTACGAACCTGTACATCTTTTCTCAATCTTTAGCGGGTTTTTTTCCAATTATTAAACAGTTAATGAGCTCCGAAGCACCAGGAGGCTGTTTATAACAATAACAACAGTTGAATGGGAAGTTTTCATGCTTGTAAACTGTTTAATAAATGTAACCAAAGCCGTCAAAGATTAAGGAAAGATGTACAGGTTCGTAAGTGCTTTCGTGAATCTGGCCCCTGAGCCCCACCGACCTTTCATTCCTTTCGCAGCCTCGTCAACACTGCAAAATTCACTTTCAACTTCATGGACTGTATCACGTTCCTCGATTGGTGTCATCAGGTCCATTTAAAAAAAACATCAAAGCATCCTCTCCTCAATATAAGTTGTTCGTTTTGAAGTCTAACTAATTGCCACTTGACTTTCGAACATTTACTTCTATGGAAGATTGTTTCCTTCTTGGTTTAGCTGTTCCGACAATGTTTCGTTCCTTAATGTACGATTTTTGACATCTGGTTTGCACAGGAAGACTTGTTAGTCCTTCAAGGTGAGTTACTTTAGAAAATTAAAGACTTACTCGTTAAGTAAGAAAACTCGTTGCTTTCTAGAAAAGAGTAAACCAGTTTATGGCACCTAGTGAAACAAGGATTGGCAGAAAGCCTTCATCTCTCTCTTTGATGAATTAGTCCATCTGTATTAAAATATCTGCAACTATTCATTATCTTACACGCATTCATCCATTATTACCATTTCGATACATTGAAAGAGAGGAAGATTATTAAGGAAAGGCTTTAAAAGTGATTTGTCTTATAATAACTTTAAGAATATAATCTGCGTTATCCTTATGATAAAATCTCAGAGATACATTTTCTTTCTCAACTTTTCCTCAGGTGTCGGCAAGTGGTTCTTGTTGATGCGAGAAGTTTTAGATGAGTTGGTACCGTTCACATACATGGACAAGATGGTTGACCCCGTGCTGGACTACCTCGCTATGCTGGCTGCCAGGTCTACTCTCCTCGTCTGGTCGCAGAGTCGGTAAGATCCCGGCTCAGTATATAGGACGGACCGAAACGTCGTCGTCCCTTCACCTTCTAGTGTGTGGTCTGGTCAACATACTTTAGCCACGTTATTGTGACTCATCGCCTGCATATCCTTGAATATAACAGAAAGGGTGACGTTATTGATTCCAATCTTCACTTGAGAAGGAATTTAAAAATTAACTGTCCAAAGTTTATTTTACTATGGTCTGACGGTAAGAGATGCGTTTCGTTGATCCGTAACAACATTATCAAAGACAGAGATCGAATGGTTGCAAGTTTTTGTGCTGCCGGATATATAGCCACGGATTAAGTGAAGGTGAAGTAGCTCATCTATGGGCCAATTAGTTCATTGCAGCTTACCAGTTTCCATACATGCGAATCTGATCGTCGCTTCTCTGGAACTGATGGTTTAGTTCATGCCCATCTTCAATACCAAGCCCGGGAGCCGGTCGGCCGAGCGGACAGCACGCTGGACTTGTGATCCTGTGGTCCTGGGTTCGATCCCAGGCGCCGGCGAGAAACAATGGGCAGAGTTTCTTTCACCCTATGCCCCTGTTACCTAGCAGTAAAATAGGTACCTGGGTGTTAGTCAGCTGCCACGGGCTGCTTCCTGGGGGTGGAGGCCTGGTCGAGGACCGGACCGCGGGGACACTAAAAGAAAAAGCCCCGAAATCAATCATCTCAAGATACCTGATTATCACTACAGTAAATATAGATAGTTTATGATTGGTGTTTGCTATGACATGCCCTGATGCCTTTAACAGCAGCCGTCTGTTTAACCCGGCAAATGCTTCTTACAAATTTATCTAGACTTTAGCTAAGCTTAGAATATGATGCTAAGCATCGATCAAACATGAACAAAAGAAATTCATTTATATCTAACAGAATCCAGTTTTAGTTGATATGTAATCGAATTATAATAAATATTTTGAAATAATATTCTTGTTATATTTATATGTAGATTTAAGGCCAGTGATGCCCCATCGAGGCTAAGCTCAGCACTGACCCCACCACAGGTACCGTTGGTTCAACTTTGAAGGAGAAGGCGACTCAGCGGACAAGCCTTCCGGAAAGGGATCTTGGAGAGACACTCTGTTTTGTAATGAATTCAGGGACGCCATCCCGTTCATCGACATTTGGCTGTGGAGAAAATTGAGGTGAGTTCTGTTCGCTTACATAGAATTGCTGGAGATCGACAGTAAACATTCCGGCTAGCCGGACGGCCGAGCGGACAGCACACTGGACTTGTGATCCTGTGGTCCTGGGGTCGATCCCAGGCGCCGGCGAGAAACAATGGGCAAAGTTTCTTTCACCCTATGCCCCTGTTACCTAGCAGTAAATAGGTACCTGGGTGTTAGTCAGCTGTCACGGGCTGCTTCCTGGGGGTGGAGGCCTGGTCGAGGACCGAGCCGCGGGGACACTAAGGCCCCGAAATCATCTCAAGATAACCTCAAGATTTATGAATATTAGTTGAAGTCAATTCAAGTTTAATCTCCCCGTCCAGTGTAAGTAAATCAAGACAAGCTCACTCCTCTACAAGACAAGCTCACTCCTCTACCTTTACAAGCAAGTCAATAGCTGTTCAAGGTAAACAGTTAATAAGATAACTTTAGACATAAATGTTGATTAAATAAGTTTATGTTCAGCAAAAGTTATGTTAGTAAGTGCGCCGTTAACATGGTGAGTTTGGTGCTTTTTCCAGTACTTGACAGTGAAGTACCATCCGTTAGTACACATTTTGTTCACGGCGGTAGTGAGGTACACTTCTTTTGTTCACGGCGGTAGTGAGGTACACTTCTTTTGTTCAGGGTGGTAGTGAGGTACACTTCTTTTGTTCAGGGTGGTAGTGAGGTACACTTCTTTTGTTCAGGGTGGTAGTGAGGTACACTTCTTTTGTTCACGGCGGTAGTGAGGTACACTTCTACTGTTCAGGGCGGTAGTGAGGTACACCTCTATTGTTCAGGGCGGTAGTGAGGTACACCTCTATTGTTCACGGCGGTAGTGAGGTACACTTCTTTTGTTCACGGTGGTAGTGAGGTACACTTCTTTTGTTCAGGGTGGTAGTGAGGTACACTTCTTTTGTTCACGGTGGTAGTGAGGTACACTTCTTTTGTTCAGGGTGGTAGTGAGGTACACTTCTTTTGTTCACTGTGGTAGTGAGGTACACTTCTTTTGTTCAGGGTGGTAGTGAGGTACACTTCTATTGTTCACGGCGGTAGTGAGGTACACTTCTTTTGTTCAGGGTGGTAGTGAGGTACACTTCTATTGTTCACGGCGGTAGTGAGGTACACCTCTATTGTTCACGGCGGTAGTGAGGTACACCTCTATTGTTCAGGGCCGTAGTGAGGTACACTTCTTTTGTTCAGGGCGGTAGTGAGGTACACCTCTATTGTTCAGGGCGGTAGTGAGGTACACCTCTATTGTTCAGGGCGGTAGTGAGGTACACCTCTATTGTTCAGGGCGGTAGTGAGGTACACCTCTATTGTTCACGGCGGTAGTGAGGTACACCTCTATTGTTCACGGCGATAGTGAGGTACACCTCTATTGTTCACGGCGGTAGTGAGGTACACCTCTATTGTTCAGGGTGGTAGTGAGGTACACCTCTATTGTTCAGGGTGGTAGTGAGGTACACTTCTTTTGTTCAGGGTGGTAGTGAGGTACACTTCTTTTGTTCAGGGTGGTAGTGAGGTACACTTCTATTGTTCAGGGCGGTAGTGAGGTACACTTCTATTGTTCAGGGCCGTAGTGAGGTACACTTCTATTGTTCAGGGCGGTAGTGAGGTACACTTCTTTTGTTCACGGCGGTAGTGAGGTACACTTCTTTTGTTCAGGGTGGTAGTGAGGTACACTTCTTTTGTTCAGGGTGGTAGTGAGGTACACTTCTATTGTTCAGGGCGGTAGTGAGGTACACTTCTATTGTTCAGGGCCGTAGTGAGGTACACTTCTATTGTTCAGGGCGGTAGTGAGGTACACTTCTTTTGTTCAGGGCGGTAGTGAGGTACACCTCTATTGTTCAGGGCGGTAGTGAGGTACACCTCTATTGTTCAGGGCGGTAGTGAGGTACACCTCTATTGTTCAGGGCGGTAGGTGGTACACCTCTATTGTTCAGGGCGGTAGGTGGTACACCTCTATTGTTCAGGGCGGTAGGTGGTACACCTCTATTGTTCAGGGCGGTAGTGAGGTACACCTCTATTGTTCACGGCGGTAGTGAGGTACACCTCTATTGTTCAGGGCCGTAGTGAGGTACACTTCTATTGTTCAGGGCCGTAGTGAGGTACACTTCTTTTGTTCAGGGCCGTAGTGAGGTACACCACTTTTGTTCACGGCGGTAGTGAGGTACACTTTTAGAAACACTTTTTGCATGTGATAATCATAGTAAAAAAGCTAGCCGTCATGACTAACCTAACTTAGCTAACCTAACCTAACCTAACCTAACCTAACCTAACCTAACCTAACCTAACCTAAGCTAACCTAACCAAGATTTCTCTATTGATAATAGTGACATTTCCGCCTCTTGTCTGTGGGTGAGAGCTATATAGCTGCCTCTTGCAACACTTGTCTGTGGGTGAAGCTATATAGCTGCCTCTTGCATCACTTGTCTGTGGGTGAGAGCTATATAGCTGCCTCTTGCAACACTTGTCTGTGGGTGAGAGCTATATAGCTGCCTCTTGCAACACTTGTCTGTGGGTGAGAGCTATATAGCTGCCTCTTGCATCACTTGTCTGTGGGTGAAGCTATATAGCTGCCTCTTGCAACACTTGTCTGTGGGTGAAGCTATATAGCTGCCTCTTGCATCACTTGTCTGTGGGTGAAGCTATATAGCTGCCTCTTGCAACACTTGTCTGTGGGTGAAGCTATATAGCTGCCTCTTGCAACACTTGTCTGTGGGTGAAGCTATATAGCTGCCTCTTGCAACACTTGTCTGTGGGTGAAGCTATATAGCTGCCTCTTGCATCACTTGTCTGTGGGTGAAGCTATATAGCTGCCTCTTGCATCACTTGTCTGTGGGTGAAGCTATATAGCTGCCTCTTGCATCACTTCTCTGTGGGTGAAGCTATATAGCTGCCTCTTGCAACACTTGTCTGTGGGTGAAGCTATATAGCTGCCTCTTGCAACACTTGTCTGTGGGTGAAGCTATATAGCTGCCTCTTGCATCACTTGTCTGTGGGTGAAGCTATATAGCTGCCTCTTGCATCACTTGTCTGTGGGTGAAGCTATATAGCTGCCTCTTGCATCACTTGTCTGTGGGTGAAGCTATATAGCTGCCTCTTGCAACACTTGTCTGTGGGTGAAGCTATATAGCTGCCTCTTGCATCACTTGTCTGTGGGTGAAGCTATATAGCTGCCTCTTGCATCACTTGTCTGTGGGTGAAGCTATATAGCTGCCTCTTGCATCACTTGTCTGTGGGTGAAGCTATATAGCTGCCTCTTGCATCACTTGTCTGTGGGTGAAGCTATATAGCTGCCTCTTGCATCACTTGTCTGTGGGTGAAGCTATATAGCTGCCTCTTGCAACACTTGTCTGTGGGTGAAGCTATATAGCTGCCTCTTGCATCACTTGTCTGTGGGTGAAGCTATATAGCTGCCTCTTGCATCACTTGTCTGTGGGTGAAGCTATATAGCTGCCTCTTGCATCACTTGTCTGTGGGTGAAGCTATATAGCTGCCTCTTGCATCACTTGTCTGTGGGTGAAGCTATATAGCTGCCTCTTGCAACACTTGTCTGTGGGTGAAGCTATATAGCTGCCTCTTGCATCACTTGTCTGTGGGTGAAGCTATATAGCTGCCTCTTGCATCACTTGTCTGTGGGTGAAGCTATATAGCTGCCTCTTGCATCACTTGTCTGTGGGTGAAGCTATATAGCTGCCTCTTGCAACACTTGTCTGTGGGTGAAGCTATATAGCTGCCTCTTGCATCACTTGTCTGTGGGTGAAGCTATATAGCTGCCTCTTGCAACACTTGTCTGTGGGTGAAGCTATATAGCTGCCTCTTGCATCACTTGTCTGTGGGTGAAGCTATATAGCTGCCTCTTGCAACACTTGTCTGTGGGTGAAGCTATATAGCTGCCTCTTGCATCACTTGTCTGTGGGTGAAGCTATATAGCTGCCTCTTGCAACACTTGTCTGTGGGTGAAGCTATATAGCTGCCTCTTGCATCACTTGTCTGTGGGTGAAGCTATATAGCTGCCTCTTGCAACACTTGTCTGTGGGTGAAGCTATATAGCTGCCTCTTGCATCACTTGTCTGTGGGTGAAGCTATATAGCTGCCTCTTGCGACACTTGTCAGTGGGTGATGATGAGATACGTTCCTCTTCTCATCACTTGTCTGTGGGTGATAGTGAGCCAGCACTGGGAGCACACACACGTGTTACATAGAGACCATCTTCATTACAGGGTGACCGGGGCGTTACAGTGGGACTCGAGTCTGCCCTTCAACCTGGCCAACTTGCGGGAGTGTAAACAGCTCCGGGACGCTGGTCTAAGCAAGTACCCCATCTACCATGGTAAGTGTCTCATGTGTTATGTATCCTCTTGCTCTACCGTGGTAACTGTCTCATGTGTTATGTATCCTCTTGCTCTACCATGGTAACTGTCTCATGTGTTATGTATCCTCTTGCTCTACCGTGGTAACTGTCTCATGTGTTATGTATCCTCTTGCTCTACCGTGGTAACTGTCTCATGTGTTATGTATCCTCTTGCTCTACCATGGTAACTGTCTCATGTGTTATGTATCCTCTTGCTCTACCGTGGTAACTGTTACATGTATTATGTATCCTCTTGCTCTACCGTGGTAACTGTTACATGTATTATGTATCCTCTTGCTCTACCATGGTAACTGTTATATGTATTATGTATCCTCTTGCTTTACCATTGTAACTGTTACATGTATTATGTATCCTCTTGCTCTACCATGGTAACTGTTACATGTATTATGTATCCTCTTGCTCTACCGTGGTAATTGTTACATGTATTATGTATCCTCTTGCTCTACCATAGTAACTGTTACATGCATTATGTATCCTCTTGCTCTACCGTGGTAACTGTTACATGTATTATGTATCCTCTTGCTCTACCGTGGTAACTGTCTCATGTATTATGTATCCTCTTGCTCTACCGTGGTAACTGTCTCATGTATTATGTCTCCTCTTGCTCTACCGTGGTAACTGTCTCATGTATTATGTATCCTCTTGCTCTACCGTGGTAACTGTCTCATGTATTATGTATCCTCTTGCTCTACCGTGGTAACTGTCTCATGTATTATGTCTCCTCTTGCTCTACCGTGGTAACTGTCACATGTATTATGTATCCTCTTGCTCTACCATGGTAACTGTCACATGTATTATGTATCCTCTTGCTCTACCGTGGTAACTGTCTCATGTATTATGTCTCCTCTTGCTCTACCATGGTAACTGTCTCATGTGTTATGTATCCTCTTGCTCTACCGTGGCAACTGTCACATGTATTATGTATCCTCTTGCTCTACCGTGGTAACTGTCTCATGTGTTATGTCTCCTCTTGCTCTTCCATGGTAACTGTCTCATGTGTTATGTATCCTCTTGCTCTACCGTGGCAACTGTCACATGTATTATGTATCCTCTTGCTCTACCGTGGTAACTGTCTCATGTGTTATGTCTCCTCTTGCTCTACCGTGGCAACTGTCACATGTATTATGTATCCTCTTGCTCTACCATGGTAACTGTCTCATGTGTTATGTCTCCTCTTGCTCTACCATAGTAACTTTTACATGTATTATGTCTCCTCTTGCTCTACCATAGTAACTTTTACATGTATTATGTATCCTCTTGCTCTACCATGGTAACTGTCTCATGTGTTATGTATCCTCTTGCTCTACCATGGTAACTGTCTCATGTGTTATGTATCCTCTTGCTCTACCGTGGCAACTGTCACATGTATTATGTATCCTCTTGCTCTACCGTGGTAACTGTCTCATGTGTTATGTCTCCTCTTGCTCTACCATAGTAACTTTTACATGTATTATGTCTCCTCTTGCTCTACCATAGTAACTTTTACATGTATTATGTATCCTCTTGCTCTACCATGGTAACTGTCTCATGTGTTATGTATCCTCTTGCTCTACCATGGTAACTGTCTCATGTGTTATGTATCCTCTTGCTCTACCGTGGTAACTGTCACATGTATTATGTATCCTCTTGCTCTACCATGGTAACTGTCACATGTATTATGTATCCTCTTGCTCTACCGTGGTAACTGTCTCATGTATTATGTCTCCTCTTGCTCTACCATGGTAACTGTTACATGTATTATGTATCCTCTTGCTCTACCGTGGTAACTGTCTCATGTGTTATGTATCCTCTTGCTCTACCATGGTAACTTTTACATGTATTATGTATCCTCTTGCTCTACCATGGTAACTGTCACATTTATTACGTATCAGTGTCAAGTATAATATTTATATAATTATAGTTGTATTAGTAATATAAAAAGAGCTATAATCTTGCCGCTTCACATGCTTCTCCTGTTAAAGAATACTTATATTATGGTTCTTGAAGCTCTTCGTATACTGGCTGTGGGTTCTCTCTTGTTCTTAGACGCTCTTCCTTCACACAGTTGTGCTCAAGAGTAGACCAACTGAAGGAGTTGTAGAGCTTTCACTTCCCGGAGTTCATCTTAAACATTACCCTATTAGCTTTCCTTGGAAGATGACCCACCAATTGGTTTACAGCCAGGTCCCAAATTACTGCTGGGTGAAGAAGGGGTAATTAGTTAAGGATTAGTGCCTAGTTCTCCCTCCCTGACCAGGGCTCGATCCCGCAGGAATTGGCTGGTATTCCTGGCACTGAACGCAGTGAGTGCCGCCACCTCTCCCAGAACACGGGCACCTTGTGCTCTGTTCTCTCCTCTACACAAAATCTGACAAAATCTGGGGATATTTGGAGTTAAAGTGCAGGAAGTGGTCACACTCTCGCTCCGCACCAAGAGAGTGATTTGACTTGGGTTCGAGTCCTTGCCAGGGAGGTTTAATTGGGCGCAATTCCATAAGTGTTCACCTCTGTATTCCCCGCATTAATTAGGTCCCTGGTTGTAAAGTGATTGGTGGGTTGTGTTTCAGGGAACAACTGGTAGAGTAATGTTTACCATGAGCTATGGGAAGACAAAGTTCCCACCATGTTATAACAGGAGGCAGAAGGCGTCTGCTCCTGTACACACCTGCCCAAACAATCACATTAATATTAATATTTAATTCACCTGGGCTCTAGGAGACTCGAACCGTTGACCCCACGCGTGTGAGGCAGAAGCTGTATCCACTCAGCTATGAGTAGTCATAATAATTCCTCTGAGCTTCAGTAGTAGTCAGGGGGAAGTTGAAAATTCCAGCTTAGCAGCAGTAGTTGCTTCTGGAATCTTCCCTTATTAAGACTACTCACAGCTGAGTGGATAGAGCTTCTGCCTCACACTTGTGAGGTCCGGGGTTCGAGTCTCCTGGAGTCTAGGTGAATGAAATGTTTGTGTTCTAGGGAAGTGTGAATGACTATTATTAATAATAATGTCTTCCAGACTTCCTTGGAAACAAACATTTTCACCTAGACTCTGGACTAGACTCTAGGAGATTCAATATTTAGGTCAATAGAGCTTTGGCTTCACACTTGTGGGGTCCGGGGTTCGAGTCTCCTGGAGTCCAGGTGATTGAAATTATTATTATTATTATTATTGTTGTTTTAATCATTATTATTAATTCTTTTCATTATCACTTTTTAGTTGCTGTAATCTTGGACTGTAGCTGTGTAATACTGAGCTGTAATGTTGAAGATCACAATTATTAGATGAGAAAATGTTTGGAGCAATGAGGGGATCGAACCAGCGACCTGCTAAACACCATCTGTCCTCCATACCTCCCCTCCACCCCGGCCACGACATGCTGAAGGCTATTAAACCTAGGGGTACGGTCGGCGGCTGGTGTTTACCGGGTCGCTGGTTCAATCCCCTCATTATTTAATTGTCACATAGATGTTTCAACGTCTGAGTTGCAGGAGCTCAGGTCATCTTATATGGTTGTGCCTGTGACTGTCTCTGGGCCACTTACGGGCTATTCATGCCCGTGTCATCTCTTGGGCAGCTTAATCTTCATCAATCAATCCACCAATCGTCGCTGGGGACACGTCAACAGAGTAGTCTTGATTTGAACCATTATTGTCTGGTTTAATTCCGAACTTTCAGATATTTTCTCTGAAGATTCTTTTCCACGAATTACTCTTTTTAACTTTCCGAAATATTTCATTAAGGTGGATCGCCATAACAAAATAAGCAGCCTGTTAGTTTAAGCAGAATGTTCATCCTTAAGTTCTCCAAGATTCACTTATAAATACTTGAGGTCGTAATACTCTGAAGATGAACACATGGACACGCCAGCATGATAAGGAGGATGGGGCCATATCTTACTCTCCAGATAACAGAACAATCCAATACATCTCAATATTTGTTTAAACAAATAATCTAATCTTCTCACAATACTTTTACAGAACGTGATGTTTTTGTGGTCAATGTAAGAGATACGTCCCACAATCATATGACTGTTTTCTTCAAGTGTCCAGTTAATAACTATGAGTCCCATTATGACTTGATGACTTGTAATGAGTCCCATTATGACTTGATGACTTGTAATGAGTCCCATTATGACTTGATGACATGTAATGAGTCCCATTATGACTTGATGACTTGTAATGAGTCCCATTATGACTTGATGACTTGTAATGAGTCCCATTATGACTTGATGACTTGTAATGAGTCCCATTATGACTTGATGACTTGTAATGAGTCCCATTATGACTTGATGACTTGTAATGAGTCCCATTATGACTTGATGACTTGTAATGAGTCCCATTATGACTTGATGACTTGTAATGAGTCCCATTATGACTTGATGACTTGTAATGAGTCCCATTATGACTTGATGACTTGTAATGAGTCCCATTATGACTTGATGACTTGTAATGAGTCCCATTATGACTTGTAATTGCGATGCCACAGGACACCCTTCTTCGGTAGATCCCATCCATATTCACAATTTATTACATACTGTCTCGAAGGTATTTATATCCTTCGCACAATCGGCTCAGCGCCGTATGGTCCGGAGTTTGATTCCCGGGCATAGTGAGACGACTCTGGACTTTTCGATAGCCTAATGGCTGAATTCACCTAGCAGTAAATTTGTATGTGGGAGTTAAGTAACTGTTGTGGGTTTAGTCCTGCGGAGCACCAGTCGTTATCCTGTGGTAGGGTTGATAAGCTTTCAGGGCTCCTAACCCCGATAATGGGAAACTGTTTAGGATTGGCGGCACCAATCATGTCTTACGGGTATTTTCTTTAACGTTTAATATTTCCTTCTATCCCCAGATGGTTGGTGGAAGTGTAACGACATTCATCACTCAGCTTACGAAACAAACAACGACGAAATTCAAATGTTGCTTAACATGTTGTGCAACCCATACCTGGACACTCCTCCACAGTACTGCTGTACGGGTGTTGCTTGACACCTTCTACACCCCATACCTGGACACTCCTCCACAGTACTGCTGTACGGGTGTTGCTTGACACCTTCTACACCCCATACCTGGACACTCCTCCACAGTACTGCTGTACGGGTGTTGCTTGACACCTTCTACACCCCATACCTGGACACTCCTCCACAGTACTGCTGTACGGGTGTTGCTTGACACCTTCTACACCCCATACCTGGACACTCCTCCACAGTACTGCTGTACGGGTGTTGCTTGACACCTTCTACACCCCATACTTGGACACTCCTCCACAGTACTGCTGTACGGGTGTTGCTTGACACCTTCTACACCCCATACCTGGACACTCCTCCACAGTACTGCTGTACGGGTGTTGCTTGACACCTTCTACACCCCATACCTGGACACTCCTCCACAGTACTGCTGTACGGGTGTTGCTTGACACCTTCTACACCCCATACCTGGACACTCCTCCACAGTACTGCTGTACGGGTGTTGCTTGACACCTTCTACACCCCATACCTGGACACTCCTCCACAGTACTGCTGTACGGGTGTTGCTTGACACCTTCTACACCCCATACCTGGACACTCCTCCACAGTACTGCTGTACGGGTGTTGCTTGACACCTTCTACACCCCATACCTGGACACTCCTCCACAGTACTGCTGTACGGGTGTTGCTTGACACCTTCTACACCCCATACCTGGACACTCCTCCACAGTACTGCTGTACGGGTGTTGCTTGACACCTTCTACACCCCATACCTGGACACTCCTCCACAGTACTGCTGTACGGGTGTTGCTTGACACCTTCTACACCCCATACCTGGACACTCCTCCACAGTACTGCTGTACGGGTGTTGCTTGACACCTTCTACACCCCATACTTGGACACTCCTCCACAGTACTGCTGTACGGGTGTTGCTTGACACCTTCTACACCCCATACCTGGACACTCCTCCACAGTACTGCTGTACGGGTGTTGCTTGACACCTTCTACACCCCATACCTGGACACTCCTCCACAGTACTGCTGTACGGGTGTTGCTTGACACCTTCTACACCCCATACCTGGACACTCCTCCACAGTACTGCTGTACGGGTGTTGCTTGACACCTTCTACACCCCATACCTGGACACTCCTCCACAGTACTGCTGTACGGGTGTTGCTTGACACCTTCTACACCCCATACCTGGACACTCCTCCACAGTACTGCTGTACGGGTGTTGCTTGACACCTTCTACACCCCATACTTGGACACTCCTCCACAGTACTGCTGTACGGGTGTTGCTTGACACCTTCTACACCCCATACCTGGACACTCCTCCACAGTACTGCTGTACGGGTGTTGCTTGACACCTTCTACACCCCATACCTGGACACTCCTCCACAGTACTGCTGTACGGGTGTTGCTTGACACCTTCTACACCCCATACCTGGACACTCCTCCACAGTACTGCTGTACGGGTGTTGCTTGACACCTTCTACACCCCATACCTGGACACTCCTCCACAGTACTGCTGTACGGGTGTTGCTTGACACCTTCTACACCCCATACCTGGACACTCCTCCACAGTACTGCTGTACGGGTGTTGCTTGACACCTTCTACACCCCATACCTGGACACTCCTCCACAGTACTGCTGTACGGGTGTTGCTTGACACCTTCTACACCCCATACCTGGACACTCCTCCACAGTACTGCTGTTAAAATATTTCTTAACAATGTAGTGCTGCCCATACCTGGACACTGTTCAATGGGCTTACCTAAAGTTGTATATATCCTGTATCGATAAACTGTTCAACAAGACTGTCATGTTATTCAACATGTCATCCCAATATTTCAGTACCTATAGGTACTATGGATGAACATAAAATATGGAATGTTGCACTAAGAAGTTCACCTTTATTATAGGTCCCGAAAATAGAGGTAATAACCAAACTTGGCTAAATTAGAGGGGAGATGATTGCTTATTTAGGCCTAGGGAGCCGGGTCGGCCGAGCGGACAGCAAGCGGGACTTGTGATCCTGTGGTCCTGGGTTCGATCCCAGGCGCCGGCGAGAAACAATGGGCAGAGTTTCTTTCACCCTATGCCCCTGTTACCTAGCAGTAAAATAGGTACCTGGGTGTTAGTCAGCTGTCACGGGCTGCTTCCTGGGGGCGGAGGCCTGGTCGAGGACCGGGCCGCGGGGACACTAAAAGCCCCGAAATCATCTCAAGATAACCTCAAGATAGGACAGGTTGGGTTTAAGCAGTTTAGTATTTCTGAAGTACAAACCGTGAACTTTTTATTAACATATTAACATGACAACATATGGACACTGGCAAACACTGGAACGTCGTTTAGAAACCTATATGTACATATAGCATTCACTTAAATAGGCCCATGGTACCACAGATATTTTCAGGTAATTGTAGCAATATTGGGAGAAGTGCATAAATATATATATTCGGATCTATCAAACATCATGTCTATCTATTCAAGGTTGGGGGCCAGAAGCCTAATATTGGGGTAAACATCGATAAGCTCTCCTGGTTGACTTTGTCCTCATTTTGGGAAGGTCATAGGCGGATTAAGTAGCTTCCCAGGCACCACTTTTTCCTCCCTTTTCTTGATATGGCAAGTGATACTAATTTCCAAACTTCCTAAATACCATATTTCATCCTAAGAGTCACTCCTGCATATTTTCTACTTGGTTAAACGTTGTTTTTGTACTTGAGAATGGTCCAGGACGGACCGAAACGTCGTCGTCCCTTCACCTTCTAGTGTGTGGTCTGGTCAACATTTTTCAGCCACGTTATTGTGACTGCATAACTGCATAACATGCCATTGTCTTATGGTAGAGACTGTGATCCATTGGACTTTGTATTTTAATTAAAAAAATGTGAATTACGTAAGCTTCATGACCACCACTGGTACTCAGAATGATGAAATTATCAGTATAAATGGTTATATTTGCAGTAATATTATTTTGTTAAAACATAAAATTAGTTTACACATAGCATTCATGAGACATGAACAATATAAGACAAAGTTCGCCACTCTGAGCTGTTCCTGTGCCAAGAGACTGTACTAATTCTTTAAAAAATAGTTTATCCGAAACATAATCAATTAAAGCGTATGGTCAACAAAATAATAAATACTCAACTGACAGTCAGATAATAAAGTAGTTGGCTGTCCTGAGAGCCAGGGACTTTTTCACAGAATTGAATGTCAGTTTGGCAAACGAACCCTTTAAGGATCTTCCACTACATTACATCTGTATTTAAATTACATAATAAATAATTAAATTACATCTGTAATTTCCAACCATTTTAGGACTCCTGCCCAATTTTCTAGTACTGAAAAGACACTTTTATACTTGAAAAAATAGGAGTAAATTTAAAAACAATCAAATCATTGAATGTTTTATTTAAATATTCTTTGAACATTACAATTTTGACAATTTTTGCAAAAATTCACAATGTGATTTTGTTTTGAACTCGTCCATCATCACATTTTTCTTTCTCAAAATTTAGTGACTTAAGGTGAAGCTTGTTGCTACATCTCAACAGACAGCTTGTCAATTCGCGACTGTATCTGCCAGCCATTCTCATGCAACCCGTTCTCGCAAATTTAATAAGTCAATATTGACTTATTAGTTGCGTGCATAGGTGACATACTAAACATAATAGTTTCCTTTGAAAAGCTTCATAGAAAACACCGACCTTACCTAACCTACTTAGTATGTTAAAATAAGCATCTTATAGCTTCGTAATTACAATTGTTACTTAACCTATTATAGGTATAGGTTAGGTAATGATTGTAATTACGAAGCAATAAGATGCTTATCTTAACATACTAAGTAGGTTAGGTAAGGTCGGTGTTTTCTATGAAGCTTTTCAAGGGAAACTATTATGTTAAGTATGTCACCTATGCACATATTTAATAAGTCAATATTGACTTATTAAATTTGCGAGAACGGGTTGTCTCATGTCATCCTCGACATTTAGCCTGCTTCTTCACTTTGTTTGAATGAGAACAAATGTTGAAAATCTAGTCTCACAGAGATAGTGGAGGAGTAAAGAAGCCTAAATATGAAGGCAAGCATGTTGACCTTGGGATATGATTGATATAGTGCATGTTGACCTTGGGATATGGTTGATATAGTGCATGTTGACCTTGGGATATGATTGATATAGTGCATGTTGACCTTGGGATATGATTGATATAGTGCATGTTGACCTTGGGATATGATTGATATAGTGCATGTTGACCTTGGGATATGATTGATATAGTGCATGTTGACCTTGGGATATGATTGATATAGTGCACCCCAGAGTTTATTCAGAGGATACAGATTGTAATGCACAAGAGACGAAATATTTTGCCACAGTATAAATGTAAAGCCGAATTTGTTAACTTTTTTTTTTGTATTCAGAATCATTGGGTGACATTGTTGACATATAATTGGCGACCATGTTGCCATAGAATTGATGACCTTCTTAACGTAATATAGGTGACCTTTTCTTCGTAATATAGGTGGTGGTTTTAACATAGTGTAGACTACTTTGTTGTTGTTATTCTGTTATATACAATACAGTGCACAATATCAATAAATGACTCATTGATATCAAAGAAGTCTTCGAGGAATTGAACTCTCGCTGGCTCTTAGGTGAAGTTTAGGTTGAAAATATCAATGAGAACTCTAGTATTTTCATCTACACTGAAGAGCTAAGTATACTGTAGTGTTTACATTAATCTTGTTGATGCCGTAAACTTGCCAAAGTAGATACAAGAGTTACAGAGGCGACCTGAGGTGGGCCATGGCGGTGTAGGTCGGGGGGGCGTTGGAGGTTGGGCTCTTGGTGAAGCTGCCTTTATCTTCCACGATAGTGAAGGAGAAGCGGTGCAGGAGGCAGGAGAAGAACATGAAAAGCTCCATCCGGGCCAGAGGTTCCCCTGCACACTGTCGCTTTCCTGCGGAGGTACAAGTGACCACTTCGTCAACATCCCTGCCCTTGTGTGGCAGTGCACAATAGAAAGTTGTTTTCACGTATCCACACATTAAAACATTGATTGTAACCATGATATATATGTGCTTCAGCCTACAGTTTAGACCTATTGTCTTATGTATGACCCTCTGTCCTGCGTGACAGTGAATACTAGCATTATCCTCACTTTAATAAGATTATCAAAATCCTCAGATTAGGCAAAATTGTAATTAATTTTGTCAATAAAGATGTTAATAATAATAAACTTCGTCAACAGTACAACAAGTAGTAACACAACCGATTCTTAAATGTAACATTGAGCAATGAATGACATTACAGCGTAATCCACTTCTTCCAGAGAGTGTGTGATTTCCCTATAATAAATTCATACATTATAGCTGTATGGTTCCAATGGCCTCTGGACGCATCTTCTCAGCGAATTATTCAGTGCCAGCCCAACTTAAACTTACCTATGCCAAAGGGAATGAATGCCTCGTTCTTGATAAACTTTCCGTTGTCGTCGAGGAAGTTCTCAGGGTCAAATTCCTTCGGGTTTTTCCACAGCTCAGGGTCCGACAAGGCGTCGTCAGCGTTAGCCAAAAGCACCGTCCCTGCAAGAGTAAGTAGTAGTTCCTTAACGGAACTGTTATTTCACGCAACAACGACAGCACCGCTTTGGGAATTAACGAAATTAGTTTTTCCATGAATCGCTGAGGATACAGAGTACCAGTAAACACTGCACCTGAGAGTAATCACACCCAAGTTACCTTTGGGAATGTGGTAGCCAGCGAGCATGCAGTCCTCCAGAGCAGCGTGAGGCAGAGAGAAGAGCACCAGGTTGAAGGTCCTCTGTACCTCGTGTATGGTGGCCTGAGTATAGGGCAGCCTGTAACACGGTTCAGAAATATGAGGATTATCAGAGGGGGGGGGGAAGGGGTGTGGGAAAACTTTCCCCCATCACCCATAGATTCCTTAATACAACATCCAGAAATAAAAATGCTGCTGTTGTTGTGTTAATAACTCATAAAATACGATTACATTAGTGAGCCATGAAAGGGATGGCGTACGGCCCACGCAGGAATATCCATGCAAAAAAAAAAAAAAAATAACAAATTTGCTACAGAAAACCATAATTATATCTTTTCATCGCCAAAACACGATTACTTAATTTAGCACCAAAACCAACGGCCTGAGGACTGAATATCACACACAATTTTCTTCCCTAAATTAACTACATTGTCATTTATTAAAGGAATTAAAAACAACTCCTTCTGATGATTAATGGCGGATAACATTACCGGGTGATAATGTACCCAAAATGGTACGTGTACCCAAAATGATAACATTTTGGGTACACGTCCCTGATGTGGGAAGGAGGAGGAGGAGGAGGAGAGTCGCTGCGGTAACTAAACAGCAACACTTCCTCTCAGTCTAGAACACAGTGTGACCTACAAACACAAGATAGGGACGCTATTTACCGCCACGACTTCGCTAAACATTGGTAAATGTATCATTTTCCGGTTGACATATAATTATTACAGTTATGGCCATGTTTGTGTACTTTGTAGTTAACCGGTTAAGCAGCGAACTCACTTGAAAGGGTAAGCAACAATAAATGTTAACTCTTAATTATTTTCATGTTATATCTGTGAGTTAGATGTTGTTTGCATCTGTTTACGGTGTAATATTCCGGCAGGTGAAATTGTGACTACATGAAGTAATAAGTGAACTGGTGTAACACACGACACACGGCGACGCCATTATCACCCGGTAATGGTGCTGCTAATGGTGCCATTATCACCCGGTAATGGTGCTGCTAATGGTGCCATTATCACCCGGTAATGGTGCACCTAATGGTGCCATTATCACTCGGTAATGGTGCCATTATCACCCGGTAATGGTGCTGCTAATGGTGCCATTATCAGCCGGTAATGGTGCCATTATCACCCGGTAATGGTGCCATTATCACCCGGTAATGGTGCCATTATCACCCGGTAATGGTGCCATTATCACCCGGTAATGGTGCCATTATCACCCGGTAATGGTGCCATTATCACCCGGTAATGGTGCCATTATCACCCGGTAATGGTGCCATTATTACCCGGTAATGGTGCCATTATCACCCGCTTATGGTGCCATTATCACCCGGTAATGGTGCCATTATCACCCGGTAATGGTGCCATTATTACCCGGTAATGGTGCCATTATCACCCGCTTATGGTGCCATTATCACCCGGTAATGGTGCCATTATCACCCGGTAATGGTACCATTATTACCCGGTAATGGTGCCGCTAATGGTGCCATTATCACCCGCTTATGGTGCCATTATCACCCGGTAATGGTGCTGCTAATGGTCCCATTATCACCCGGTAATGGTGCCGCTAATGGTGCCATTATCACAAGCTAATAGTTCCATTATCACCCGGTAATGGTGCCATTATTACCCAGTAATGGTGCCATTATCAGCCGGTAATGGTGCCATTATCACCCGGTAATGGTGCCATTATCACCCGCTAATGGTGCCATTATCACCCGGTAATGGTGCCATTATCAGCCGGTAATGGTGCCATTATCAGCCGGTAATGGTGCCATTATCACCCGGTAATGGTGCCGGTAATAGTGCCATTATCAGCCGGTAATGGTGCCATTATCACCGGTAATGGTGCCATTATCAGCCGGTAATGGTGCCATTATCATTATAATGGTGCTTTCACAACCATGTGCTCCTTCTTGTATATAAAATTATATAAAAAATCTTACATGTGGATTTATTAGTTATCTGGTTTATAACATTTAAGAACCGGGTAGCAGGATTGTGTACTAATGTGGTGAGGGGCCTCCAAGTTTTCACTTGACCGCTTGTAAGAAGGTGGATATTTCTGAGTAAAGTATATGTCCAAGATTGAAGTACAAGCCCAAGAATGTTTTATTCTATAGATAACATTTTGGGCTGTCAGCTATATTACAATTGGTAACATTGGTAGCAGAGGTGGTCTAGACAAGTGAAATTCGGACATATTTTATTAAAAATAAGATACAGCGAATGTTGGATTTCTGTAACAAAAGGATTGATGGCATTATGAATTTTGAAGAAATGTAGACCACTTGTACATTTTACAATCATAATTTTATATATATGGCATATATGGCATTATATATTATATATATTCGCTGGCAGTCTCCGTGGTGTAGTGGTAAGACACTCGCCTGGCGTTCCGCGAGCGCTATGTCATGGGTTCGTATCCTGGCCGGGGAGGATTTACTGGGCGCAATTCCTTAACTGTAGCCTCTGTTTAACGCAACAGTAAAATGTGTACTTGGATGGCAGGGGATCGTATTCCAGGGACCTGCCCGAAACGCTACGCGTACTAGTGGCTGTACAAGAATGTAACAACTCTTGTATATATATATATATATATATTTAAGAAATCATGCACTTTAGAGTACTGGTACTTACTTCTCCATATCTGAGAAGCTTGGTAACCTGCCATCACCCACAACTGTGTTCAGCTCCTGCTGGACTCGCTCCTGGACGGCCGGGTGCTTGGCCACCAGGTAGATGGCCGTAGTGAGGGTGCTGGACGTGGTCTCCATCCCCGCCACGAACATCTCCATCACCACTCCTGTCATCTGGTCCACTGACACCAACATCAATGTGACTTTTTCCTCATATATATATTACATTTTTATTTTTTATATTATTCAAAATTATGTTACAATGAAACATCTCATCAAACTATAAAATTATGGTTCGTTTGGAATTGAATTGATATTCAGAGAAACTTTTCTAGTTTAATGAGTTTATTATTTATATATCTATTTGATGGGGTACCTGGTATTGCCCTGGTCTTTGTCTTATTCCCTCCCTCCCTTTCATTCTCTCTCCCTAGCTCCCTTTCATTCTCTCTCCCTAGTTCCCTCCCATTCTCTATCCCTAGCTCCCTCCTGCTCTCCCTCTCTTCCTTTCCTCCTATTCTATCTACCCCTCCTTTCCTCCCATTCTGCCTCCCATTCACACTCTTCTTACCATCGCTTCCGTTCACTTTTCCTCCACTTTTCTCTCTGCCTCCTTTTCTCCTGTTCCCTCTCCCTCTCATTCTCTCTCCCTCTTTTCCTCTTAATCTCTCTCCCTCTTTTCCTCTTATTCTCTCTTCCATTTTCTCTACCTCCTGATATCTCTCTCTCTCAGAACATGCAATATATGCACCAGAAAACATACAACTTGACTGCAACATTATTTGTTTCTATTGTTGTTAAGTTGATGAAACTCCATGGAAAACCAAACCAACATTTAACCTTCCTAGGAGCTACTCCAACTTAAGTATGGTCATAGGGGTTGCCAGTCCTTCTCATGATTTTTCCAATGCAATCACAAATCACCATTGAAGTTCGTATGAGTCTAACCACAAGAGTCTTTTATAGATATAGATATTATCTTGATCTTGATCTTGATCTTGATCTTGATCTTGATCTTGATCTTGATCTTGAGGTTATCTAATATTTTTTTTCCCCTAGTCCTGGACTGAACCCTGGAAGTCTAAGTGAGATGAATGTATTAATATATACTGAATGTATTAATATATATGTATATAATATATATATATATTAATATATATGTATTAATATATACGGTGTTGGTGTGTTAGTGACGGTGCTTCAGCTCATCAAAAACGGCTTCATAAGTGTGAAGAAATTGTGTCTATATCTAAAAATTAAGATTGTTCTTTAGGGAATGTGTCAGTTCACCGAGTTGCACTCTAGCAGCGCAAGAACCCCACCTAAAGTGACACCCTCAAGAGATATGACCTAATACTGCTCAGCCTCTAGAGATATGACCTAATACTGCTCAGCCTCAAGAGATATGACCTACTACTGCTCAGCCTCTAGAGATATGACCTAATACTGCTCAGCCTCTAGAGATATGACCTAATACTGCTCAGCCTCAAGAGATATGACCTAATACTGCTCAGCCTCAAGAGATATGACCAACTACTGCTGAGCCTCAGGAGATATGACCTAATACTGCTCAGCCTCTAGAGATATGACCTAATACTGCTCAGCCTCTAGAGATATGACCTAATACTGCTCAGCCTCTAGAGATATGACCTAATACTGCTCAGCCTCAAGAGATATGACCTAATACTGCTCAGCCTCTAGAGATATGACCTAATACTGCTCAGCCTCAAGAGATATGACCTAATACTGCTCAGCCTCTAGAGATATGACCTAATACTGCTCAGAGATATGACCTAATACTGCTCAGACTCAAGAGATATGACCTAATACTGCTCAGCCTCCAGAGATATGACCTAATACTGCTCAGCCTCTAGATATGACCTAATACTGCTCAGCCTCAAGGATATGACCTAATACTGCTCAGCCTCTAGAGATATGACCTAATACTGCTCAGCCTCAAGAGATATGACCTAATACTGCTCAGCCTCTAGAGATATGACCTAATACTGCTCAGCCTCAAGAGATATGACCTACTACTGCTCAGCCTCTAGAGATATGACCTAATATTGCTCAGCCTCTAGAGATATGACCTAATACTGCTCAGCCTCTAGAGATATGACCTAATACTGCTCAGCCTCTAGAGATATGACCTAATACTGCTCAGCCTCAAGAGATATGACCTAATACTGCTCAGCCTCAAGAGATATGACCTAATACTGCTCAGCCTCCAGAGATATGACCTAATACTGCTCAGCCTCAAGAGATATGACCTAATACTGCTCAGCCTCAAGAGATATGACCTAATACTGCTCAGCCTCAAGAGATATGACCTAATACTGCTCAGCCTCAAGAGATATGACCTAATACTGCTCAGCCTCAAGAGATATGACCTACTACTGCTCAGCCTCAAGAGATATGACCTACTACTGCTCAGCCTCAAGAGATATGACCTACTACTGCTCAGCCTCAAGAGATATGACCTACTACTGCTCAGCCTCAAGAGATATGACCTAATACTGCTCAGCCTCAAGAGATATGACCTAATACTGCTCAGCCTCAAGAGATATGACCTACTACTGCTCAGCCTCAAGAGATATGACCAACTACTGCTCAGCCTCAAGAGATATGACCTACTACTGCTCAGCCTCAAGAGATATGACCTAATACTGCTCAGCCTCAAGAGATATGACCAACTACTGCTGAGCCTCAGGAGATATGACCTAATACTGCTCAGCCTCAAGAGATATGACCTAATACTGCTCAGCCTCTAGAGATATGACCTAATACTGCTCAGCCTCAAGAGATATGACCTAATACTGCTCAGCCTCTAGAGATATGACCTAATACTGCTCAGCCTCAAGAGATATGACCAACTACTGCTGAGCCTCAAGAGATATGACCTAATACTGCTCAGCCTCAAGAGATATGACCTAATACTGCTCAGCCTCAAGAGATATGACCAACTACTGCTGAGCCTCAAGAGATATGACCTAATACTGCTCAGCCTCAAGAGATATGACCTAATACTGCTCAACCTCTAGAGATATGACCTAATACTGCTCAGCCTCAAGAGATACGACCTAATACTGCTCAGCCTCTAGTGATATGACCTAATACTGCTCAGCCTCAAGAGATATGACCTAATACTGCTCAGCCTCAAGAGATATGACCAACTACTGCTGAGCCTCAGGAGATATGACCTACTACTGCTCAGCCTCAAGAGATATGACCTAATACTGCTCAGCCTCAAGAGATATGACCAACTACTGCTGAGCCTCAGGAGATATGACCTACTACTGCTCAGCCTCAAGAGATATGACCTAATACTGCTCAGCCTCTAGTGATATGACCTAATACTGCTCAGCCTCTAGTGATATGACCTAATACTGCTCAGCCTCAAGAGATATGACCTAATACTGCTCAGCCTCAAGAGATATGACCTAATACTGCTCAGCCTCCAGAGATATGACCTAATACTGCTCAGCCTCAAGAGATATGACCTAATACTGCTCAGCCTCAAGAGATATGACCTAATACTGCTCAGCCTCAAGAGATATGACCTAATACTGCTCAGCCTCAAGAGATATGACCTAATACTGCTCAGCCTCAAGAGATATGACCTAATACTGCTCAGCCTCAAGAGATATGACCTAATACTGCTCAGCCTCAAGAGATATGACCTAATACTGCTCAGCCTCAAGAGATATGACCTAATACTGCTCAGCCTCAAGAGATATGACCTAATACTGCTCAGCCTCAAGAGATATGACCTAATACTGCTGAGCCTCAGGAGATATGACCTACTACTGCTCAGCCTCTAGTGATATGACCTAATACTGCTCAGCCTCTAGTGATATGACCTAATACTGCTCAGCCTCTAGTGATATGACCTAATACTGCTCAGCCTCTAGTGATATGACCTACTACTGCTCAGCCTCCAGTGATATGACCTACTACTGCTCAGCCTCTAGTGATATGACCTAATATATGCTCTGGGCATTAGGGAGCTTTATGTCTGCTCTTTTTCTGTCAGTCCTCATCACTTGTGATTAAAAATATTCTCTATATCATAACATTTTAAGTAAGTATTATATATTTGTTTCATGTATGGGTGTTCAGAGAGATAATCTTACTGTTGAAGTGGGATTGTTCGCTGCCACGATTCTTGATTTCTTGGAGATAAACAGATGTCAAGGAATTGTTGGAGATTAAGTCCTTATCAGCCATAAAGTCTTGTAGTTCATCCTGGAATGATGAAAATTTATTATTTTACTACTGCTACTGCTGCTGCTACTGCTACTACTGCTACTGCTACTGCTGCTGCTACTGCTACTACTGCTACTGCTACTGCTGCTGCTACTGCTACTACTGCTACTGCTACTGCTGCTGCTACTGCTACTGCTACTGCTACTGCTGCTGCTACTGCTACTACTGCTACTGCTACTGCTGCTGCTACTGCTACTGCTACTGCTACTGCTATTGCTACTGCTGCTGCTACTGCTGCTGCTACTGCTACTGCTGCTGCTACTGCTACTGCTACTGCTGCTGCTACTGCTATTGCTACTGCTGCTGCTACTGCTACTGCTACTGCTACTGCTGCTGCTACTACTACTCCTACTGCTTCTGTTGCTACTTCTACTACGAGTTACTGCTACAAATTATATTAATAATAATATAATAACTTATAATAAATCCCACACTGAGGTATTTGTGAAATTTAAGTAAAGAATTACACCAAACCTTTCGCACTCTCCTGAGTGCTTTGTCAAGGTCTGAGTGTGTGGACAGGGCGAGACTTACATCTCAACCACTAATGAAAATTTGACTAGTCGTTGAGATACAAGTCTCCTCCTAACCACACACTCAGATCTGGACAAAGCACTCAGGAGAGTGCGAAATACTTGGTGTAATTCTTGACATAAATTTCCCAATAACATAAATGTGGGTTTTCATCCTGTGTTATTAGGTCTGTGAAAAGGCAATACCATTACCAAATAATAATAATAATAATAATAATAATAATAATAATAATAATAATAATAATAATAATAATAATTATTATTATTATTCACACTAAATCTCCACACCCTTGACAATCAGAGAGATAACCAAGAGATAACCTTAAGTGATAACGGAAAAATATATTCCGAAGCGAGATAGTGGGGGACATGGAGGATACGGGGTGAGGGGGGAGGAGGGATAGGGAGGGTATGGGATGAAGGGGGAGTGGGGACAGGGGGGGGGGGGGAAAGGCGGGAGGGGGGACATGGTGGGAATGGGGGAGGGGTGATAGGGTCAGAATGGAATGGGGGGGTGGGGAAGGGAGGGTTGGGTGAGCATTTGAGTGGGGGCAGGTAGGGTGAGGGGAAGGGAGGGTTTCAATGCAGAGGGGGGTGGTGGTGTTGCCCTCCACTCCGGTGTTGCTGGGATGCTGGTTGTGGGTTCCCCTCTTGTCTCTGGGACTGTTGTGTTGGGGGCTGCGATTTCTTGGTTTACTCCTCTCTCCCTGCGCTTCCTCCTTGCCTCTGCTGCCCTGGCTCTCTCCTCCTTCGTCCTGTCCCTCTGCAGGAATACTTTTTTGTATCCCTCCACATACTGCAGACGACTGTTCTTTTCTAAAATAACCTCTTTGGAGGCCTTGTTTGTTAACACCACCTTTACCAGTCGGTTTCTGTCCTTGTTTTACCAGCCCAACCTGCAAACCTTTTCAATGTTTTGTTCAGCCCCTTCTATCTGTAAACCCTTTAGTAGCCCATGCACTGCCTCTCTATCCTTGCTATTCCATTCCTGCCTATTGGATCCGTCCTGCTCTTTGATGCCTACAACTACCACTGATCTTTTTCTCTCCATCAGCTGATTGGTGCACCTTGCTGCTTCCTGTGAGGTAGCTGCTTGCATGGCTACCTCCCTCACTGTGTCCATTGCTTCTGAGCTCTTTCTCAGTCTTTCTGCAAATGTTTCAGGTACAGAGGCATTTCCTTCCAATGCTCCAATCCCACCTTCCCTTTGGATGATAATCTGATGCTCGGTCTCTTTATTTTTCTCTGTGAAGGATTTGATCTCCTCCCTTGCTGATGTCAGCTCACTTTGCAGGTTGTTAATTGTAATCCTAATTTCATGTATCTCCCTCCTTAATTCCTCCAGAACTTGGGTTAACATTTCCTTTGTTTAGTCACTTTGACTATTCCCTGTGTCCCTGTTGCATCTCCCTGCCATTTTGTCCCTTGTCAAGAGAGAGAGAGTAAGATAGAGAGCAAGAGAGAGAGAGAGAGAGAGAGAGAGAGAGAGAGAGAGAGAGAGAGAGAGAGAGAGAGAGAGAGAGAGAGAGAGAGAGAGAACAGAGAGAACGAGAGAGAGGGAGAGTGGTGTGTGTGTGTACTCACCTATTTGTGCTTGCAGGATCAAGTATTGACTCTTGGATCCCGCCTATTCCGATGTGTGTGTGTGTGTGTGTGTGTGTGTGTGTATTCACCTAGTTGTGTTTTCGGGGGTTGAGCTTTGCTCTTTCGGCCCGCCTCTCAACTGTCAATCAACGGTTTACTAACTACTTTCTTTTTCCCGCACCACACACACACACCAGGAAGTAGCCCGTGACAGCTGACTAGCTCCCAGGTACCTATTTACTGCTAGGTAACAAGGGCATTCAGGGTGAAAGAAACTTTGCCCATTTGTTTCTGCCTCGTGCGGGAATCGAACCCATGCCACAGAATTACGAGTACTGCGCGGTATCCACCAGGCTACGAAGCCCCTATGTATGTGTGTGTGTGTGTGTGTGTGTGTGTGTGTGTGTGTGTGTGTGTGTGTGTGTGTGTGTGTGTGTGTGTGTGTGTGTGTGTGTGTGTGTGTGTATTCACCTAGTCGTTTTTGCGGGGATTGAGCTTTGCTCTTTTGGCCCGCCTCTCAACTGTCAATCAATCAAATGTAATTAACTACTAACTAATTTTTTTCCCACACATCCCCCCCCCCCCCCCCAGGAAGCTGCTCCGTAACAGCTGTCTAACTCCAAGGTACCTATTTACTGCTATGTAACAGGGACATCAGGGTGAAAGAAACTTTGCCTATTTGTTTCTGCCTGGTCCGGGAATCGAACCCGGACCACAGAATTACGAGTACTGTACGCTGTCCGCTCAGCTACCAGATACACCCCCCTCACTCAGTTGCCAGACCCCCCCTCCCGTGTGTCAGTGTGTGTGTGTGTGTGTGTGTGTGTGTGTGTGTGTGTGTGTGTGTGTGTGTGTGTGTGTGTGTGTGTGTGTGTACTCACCTAGTTGTACTCACCTAGTTGTGTCTGCAGGATCGAGCATTGACTCTTGGATCCCGCCTTTCGAGCATCGGTTGTTTACAGCAATGACTCTTGTCCCATTTCCCTATCATACCTGGTTTTAAAATTATGAATAGTATTTGCTTCCACAACCTGTTCCTGAAGTGCATTCCATTTCCCCACTACTCTCACGCTAAAAGAAAACTTCCTAACATCTCTGTGACTCATCTGAGTTTCAAGCTTCCATCAAGCTTCCAAGTGTGTGTGTGTGTGTGTGTGTGTGTGTGTGTGTGTGTGTGTGTGTGTGTGTGTGTGTGTGTGTGTGTGTGTGTGTGTGTGTAACCACCAAATAATCTTTTAAATTATTATTGTTAATATTAATTGGGATCAGGTAGTGTGCTCTATAAAAACACGAGCAAATCTGAAAGTACTAACACCTAATCCACATCTTACCTTCATAAACTTAATAATATCCTTGACTGGTGTAAGAACTTTCAGAACGGGAATGTACATGATAGCCTTCATCATCCCGGGAATGAAGACGAGGGGATCCAGCAGGTTGAAGTCGGCCGGCTGCACGAAGGTCTTCAGCAGCTTGGCCATCTTATCGTCGTCGTAGGAGTACCTCTTCCCCATCACCATCCCCCACAGCACGTTCACCACCGACCGGTTGAAGAATCTCTGTAACAAGTTAGTGAAGTTAGTGAAGCGTGAGTTAGTGAAGCGTGTATACGGTTTGTTGTGGGTCGTAACATGGTGTAAGATTGTTGGGGGTCGTAAGATGGTGTAAGATTGTTGGGGGTCGTAAGATGGTGTAAGATTGTTGGGGGTCGTAACATGGTATAAGATTGTTGTGGGTCGTAACATGGTGTAAGATTTGTTACGGCCCTCTCGGGACGCAACGGGGTTCTTACTCTGATGTTGTTAGAGGAAGATATATGTATCCGTTCCCAAGCCAGTAGTGGCTATCAAGGGATGAGATCCGTGACGCAAGTAACTTAAAAGGGAGTAGGGAAAGAAAGTTAAGAACTTAATATTATATAATGTTCACCATCACCATTTAAATATATAAAAGTAAAACGTACACAAGGGGGAGGGGTATTAACACTTTACAAAGGGGATCAACACTGTAGTCTTCTGCTGAAGACTATGGATCCTCGAAGCTAGGTGCTGAGTCCGCGGTGCTTTCTTCGTGGCCTCAAGACGTGTCCTCTGAGAACGCCGAGTCTACCCTGGCCACAGGTCAGCCACAACACAGGTCCACTGGGGGCACCGTCGTGGAGGCCGTCAACCACACGTCCAGCAGGTCTGCTGGCAGGTACTGAGCCACCAAGGCTGGTACGGCCACTCCACGAACGATAAAAGGGGTACGCCCTAGACAGGAGTCTCGTGTGATATCACCAATCACCCTCCTGTCCTCAATACCCCAGTGGATTATCGTCTCCAACCGTCGGTCCCGGGTAAATCCTTTCACTGCCACTCCATTGGCAGGCTTAACACACCACAGTGTTCTTCCGGGGGGACGACGTCACAACAGCTGCAGCAAACTTCACAGTATGGAGACTGGCTGCCTCGGGTAGACTGACTTCACCTTCAACACAGTGGTCCCAGGTCGGCTCTGTAAGCAGACACGTCATCAATAACTGGGACACTAATACACCACACTCACAGGCTCAGATACTAACGCCTGACGTATCCAGTCCATAGATGGCGCTGTCGTCGGAGCACCACCTCACCAGAGGTCAGGAGCGGCGGTGTTGAGCGCTGAACCAGACTGGAAACTGGTCCTCGAGGCCAGTACACGCTGTCCTCACTAGGTGTCGTCGTTCGTTTGGCGGGGGTTTCGGGAGCTGACCCACAGATGGCGTGTTTGTCACTGCTCCAGGCTCGGACGCTGGATCCGGGTTCGTAACACCTCCCCACCAAAAAGAATTTGGTTTGGGGTTCTATAAAAAGAAACACAAACCAAATTAGTACGACGACACAACTCCAAATGGACACACATGCTTTATAATCTGGGATGTCGAGGCTGTCACGTCTACAGAACTGTACTGAGGAACCCTGGCACAAAGGGAACTTGATAATGGCAGGCGATGACCTGCCTGACGTAATCTTCCACACCTCCTCTGCGATGGCAAACAGGGGCATCATCACACACCTCTCTAGTGAGGATCCGTGTAGACTCGATCTGGGGTGACTCGACACTTCCCTATGTCGTGGCACTGATGATGGCTGAACACAGACGGCATTTCTGGTACCGATCCGGTAGTCCTTCAGGGAGACGGGAACCTGGAATACAGAGGTCTGATAATTCAGAGTGATAGCGACAGTGGGTAAGGCAGTACTTACTACATACTCTTCTACTAGGCCCACACCTAGTTCCAACAGGGCTGCTTGCTCACCGAAGATGGCATTCGCTCTGCCCCCGTCAGGTCGACCAACGTTCCGTATAACGCTGTGTTGAGGCTCAGCAGTCACGCGGGGGGTGTCAACCTGTCGGAAACAGTCACTCATATTATCACATGTCGTACCTCCTGTATCATCTATTACCTCCCAGGTCCCTTCTTCAACTGCAACACTTGCAGTACAACTCTCCAATCCCTGGGACCTCTTCTCGATGTTCATGGGAGCCATCATTCGTCGGGTCGTCCACCGGTCCTCACTGAGAGCACAAACGAGAACACATACGAGAATCAAACAAAGTATCGCTAAGAAACATGAGGCCAATTGAGGGATAAGCTTCCCGAGCCAGTCATGTCCATAGCCGGCCACATCCACACGCCTGGCTTGGACCGAAGAGGGCACTAGACCTTTTGAACACACCGCACCTACCTCTGACGTCTGGGGAATCTCTGGCTGGTTCACTACATGCTGTAACTTGCCATACCGCAAGCACACATCCGCCTTCGCTCCAGACTCGTTGGTATCCGTGGGTGCCCGCACACAAGGCCTCTCTTCTTGCTCAGGTACCTCTGCCTTCTTAACTTCATGTTCCTCGTCGAGAGAATCAGGAGACACTGCTAGAATATCGTCGATCTGCGGGTGAGAGGACAAATTAAATATGTTTACATCCGGGTCTGTCTTTACCTGGACATTACCATTGCCTGTTACCTCAGACCGTGCTGTTCTGGTAGACTCGTCCGCAACCTTGGGACGATTGGTGCTCCAATCGGTCACCAAGTCGTTGGCTAGTACCACGTCAATCCCAGCCACAGGGAGGGTATCGACTACTGCCAACGCACATGTGCCGCTGAAATAAGGCGAGTCGAGATGTACTGGCACTAAGGGGGCGATGTACTGCGTTCTCGGAAACCCAACCAGGATAACCTCTGGTCTCCCGTCCATACTTACTCCCTCGGGTAACGAGCTCTTCACGATCAGGGACTGGGCTGCTCCACTATCTCTGAGCACTACAATTGATCTACCAGTATGATCACTCGTTACATACCCGGTTGAAGTGTGAGGGGCCAACAAACTTGGTCCTTCCTGCGTCGTCGTAGACTGGTTTCCTACTGGTGATGTAACACAGCTCATCAACATCACCTCCCTTCGTGCGCTGCCACCTCTTCTGCCTCGGCACCTAGCAGCTATGTGTCCCTTCTGCCCACAAGTCCAGCACACCATATTCCTCCTCGGGCTCCGGTGTTTCGGACTGCTAGGACTTGTTCTTCGGGGGCTACTTGGGGGCGTCTTCTTAGCACTTCGTGGGACGGGTCTTTCTTCTTCTTCGTCGTGAGGTCTGTCAAACCGGCGCTGGTAATTCCTCGGGACGTACTTAGCAGACGGCCTATGAGTCAGGATGTACTCTTCAGCCATGGTGGCTGCTGCACTCAAGGTCTCTACCTGCTGTTCCTCTAAGTACGACTTGAGGTCTCCAGATAAACAATCCTTGAAGTCCTCGAGCAGGATCAGCTGTTCGAGGTCTTCCCTGGTCTCCACCTTCCGAGAGGCACACCATTCTTGAAAAAGTCGCTCCTTGATGGTGGCGAATTCGGTGAAAGTGTGCTCTGAGGTCTTCTTCAGGTTTCTGAACTTTTGCCTATAAGCCTCAGGTACCAATTGGTACGCCATGAGCACCACTTTCTTCACCTTGTCGTAATCGCTGGAGTCGTCAAGGGATAACGTAGAGTAGGCGATTTGGGCCTTCCCAGTCAAGACTGACTGTATCATGATGGCCCAATTCTCCCTTGGCCACTCCAAAGAGGCAGCGACTTTCTCGAAGGCTGCAAAGAATTTTGACACTTCCTTCTCATGGAATTTGGGGACCATTTTGATGTTGCGTACCGGATCGAAGCTACTGGTGTCCGTTGTTTGCCTCCGACCACCGCCTAATCGCAATACTTCTAGTTCATGTTGTCTCTCTCTTTCCTCCCTTTCTCGCTCTCGTTCTTCTCTCTCTCGTCTCGTTCTTCTCTCTCTCTCGTTCTTCTCTCTCTCGTTTCTCTTCTCTTTCTCGTTCTTCTCTCTCTCGTTCTCGTTCTTCTCTCTCTCGTCTCTCTTCTCTTTCTCGTTCTTCTCTTTCTCTTTCTCGTTTCTCTTCTCTCTCTCTCTCTCTGCTTTCCTTTCTTCTAATTCTAAACGTCTCATCTCTAATTCTTTATCTTGTCTCTCTCGTTCCATTTCTAATTTCTTCCATTCTATTTCACGATTGATCTCTAGGGCACGCATCTTGACTGTTAGGAAGCTGATATTAAGCTCGCCTGCATCACTGTCAACGTCGCTGCCCTTATCTTCCTTTTCCGTGGAAGCTATGTCTGCACTTTCCTTTGTACTAGGAGTCTCGCCTTCCTGTTTCTCTTCTGCCTTCAGGTGCCGGTGTACCTTGGACAAGATCTCCACACGGGAATCACTGGCACGGATCTTGATCTCCAGGTAGGCGCTCACTAGTACAAGCTCTGGTTTGCTCAGATATTTTAATCTGGCAAGACAATCCTCTCTGTTCAGAAAAGCCTGAACCTCGTCCAGATCATCGATGGTAGCTTTGTCTGCCATTGTCACAGATGGAACACTTAGCACTTAACACACTTAGCACTGTTCTACGCCAATATTGCACTTTATCGCACCAAACACTGCACTTGCCAATATTGCACGTAATCACTTCGGGCACCGCACTACCCAATATTGCACTGAGTCCAAGCGAACACTTCGCTCTACAATATTACACTAAATCACTGAGCACCGCACTAGTCAATATTGCACTTAATCGCTTAATCACAGCGAGCACCGCACTGCACAATATCGCACTTAGTCACTCTTTAGCACCGCACAGGACGTATAACGTCACAATCGTCACACAGGGGGAATTATTTACAGGGATTACGCCACTTCACCACCCCTGTCAAACATACTTAACAAGGGGACGGATCCCGCTGGGGATGCCAATTATGTTACGGCCCTCTCGGGACGCAACGGGGTTCTTGCTCTGATGTTGTTAGAGAAAGATATATGTATCCGTTCCCAAGCCAGTAGTGGCTATCAAGGGATGAGATCCGTGACGCAAGTAACTTAAAAGGGAGTAGGGAAAGAAAGTTAAGAACTTAATATTATATAATGTTCACCATCACCATTTAAATATATAAAAGTAAAACGTACACAAGGGGGAGGGGTATTAACACTTTACAAAGGGGATCAACACTGTAGTCTTCTGCTGGAGACTATGGATCCTCGAAGCTAGGTGCTGAGTCCGCGGTGCTTTCTTCGTGGCCTCAAGACGTGTCCTCTGAGAACGCCGAGCCTACCCTGGCCACAGGTCAGCCACAACACAGGTCCACTGGGGGCACCGTCGTGGAGGCCGTCAACCACACGTCCAGCAGGTCTGCTGGCAGGTACTGAGCCACCAAGGCTGGTACGGCCACTCCACGAACGATAAAAGGGGTACGCCCTAGACAGGAGTCTCGTGTGATATCACCAATCACCCTCCTGTCCTCAATACCCCAGTGGATTATCGTCTCCAACCGTCGGTCCCGGGTAAATCCTTTCACTGCCACTCCATTGGCAGGCTTAACACACCACAGTGTTCTTCCGGGGGACGACGTCACAACAGCTGCAGCAAACTTCACAGTATGGAGACTGGCTGCCTCGGGTAGACTGACTTCACCTTCAACACAGTGGTCCCAGGTCGGCTCTGTAAGCAGACACGTCATCAATAACTGGGACACTAATACACCACACTCACAGGCTCAGATACTAACGCCTGACGTATCCAGTCCATAGATGGCGCTGTCGTCGGAGCACCACCTCACCAGAGGTCAGGAGCGGCGGTGTTGAGCGCTGAACCAGACTGGAAACTGGTCCTCGAGGCCAGTACACGCTGTCCTCACTAGGTGTCGTCGTTCGTTTGGCGGGGGTTTCGGGAGCTGACCCACAGATGGCGTGTTTGTCACTGCTCCAGGCTCGGACGCTGGATCCGGGTTCGTAACAAGTCGTAACATGGTGTAAGATTGTTGGGGGTCGTAAGGTGGTGTAAGATTGTTGTGGGTCGTAACATGGTGTAAGATTGTTGGGGGTCGTAAGGTGGTGTAAGATTGTTGGGGGTCGTAAGATGGTGTAAGATTGTTGGGGGTCGTAACATGGTGTAAGATTGTTGTGGGTCGTAAGAGGGTGTAAGATTGTTGGGGGTCGTAAGGTGGTGTAAGATTGTTGGGGGTCGTAAAGTGGTGTAAGATTGTTGGGGGTCGTAAGATACTCGGTGGTGTAAGATTGTTGGGGGTCGTAAGATACTTGGTGGTGTAAGATTGTTGTGGGTCGTAAGATACTCGGTGGTGTAAGATTGTTGGGGGTCGTAAGATACTCGGTGGCGTAAGATTGTTGTGGGTCGTAAGATACTCGATGGTGAAAGATTGTTGTGGGTCATAAGATACTCGGTGGTGTACGATGGTTGTGGGTTGATGGTGTAAGATTGTTGTGGGTCGTAAGATACTTGATGGAGTAAGATTGTCGTGAGTCGTAAGATACTTGATGATGTAAGATTGTTGTGGGTCGTAAGATACTTGATGGAGTAAGATTGTCGTGAGTCGTAAGATACTTAATGATGTAAGATTGTTGTGGGTCGTAAGATACTTGGTGGTGTAAGATTGTTGTGGGTCGTAAGATACTTGGTGGTGTAAGATTGTTGTGGGTCGTAAGATACTTGGTTATGTAAGATTGTTGTGGGTCGTAAGATACTTGGTGGTGTAAGATTGTTGTGGGTCGTAAGATACTTGGTGGTGTAAGATTGTTGTGGGTCGTAAGATACTTGGTTATGTAAGATTGTTGTGGATCGTAAGATACTCGGTGGTATAAGATTGTTGTGGGTCGTAAGATACTCGATGGTATAAGATTGTTGTGGGTCGTAAGATACTTGGTTATGTAAGATTGTTGTGGGTCGTAAGATACTCGGTGGTATAAGATTGTTGTGGGTCGTAAGATACTCGATGGTATAAGATTGTTGTGGGTCGTAAGATACTTGGTTATGTAAGATTGTTGTGGGTCGTAAGATACTCGGTGGTATAAGATTGTTGTGGGTCGTAAGATACTCGGTGGTATAAGATTGTTGTGGGTCGTAAGATACTCGATGGTGTAAGATTTTGTTATGAAACGGGTTATATCGATGTTGGCACATTGTATAAATTATATTAAATGATTTAATACACAAAGATGAATGAATTAAGATGGATATAAACAAATAAAAAAAGAAATTCAATACTTTCTTGAACTCATCTAGAGATATCTCCTAATAAATGTTTACTTGTCAGTAGATATCTTGCTATACAAGCTTCAAATTGTTCGTTTGAATACCACTTTCATATGGTAAGGTATTATATTATCATGGACAGAGAGTTTTCTATGTCAAGATTACCTTAGTCAAGGGGCAACAGTGTCTATGCACCAGGCAAATTGGTTATCTCTTCAGAAATCATCAGCTTAGTTTTCCTCATTGTGGCTATCATCAACAGCCATGTTGATGATAGCCATTGTGGCTATCATCAACAGCATCTCCTCACCTTCATGGGAAGGGGCTCTCCCTTATGCTGCTGGATGTGGTTCATCAGCTCCGCCACCTCGTCCACCATCAGGGGCTCGTAGCTGGTCTTGCCGAAGCCGAGGTCCCGCAGGTGCCGCAGTACGAACCGCCGCTGTTCCTGCCATCGCTCGCCAGTCGCGCCGATGATCCCTGAAACAACACCACGTGAGAGTATAAAGAATATTGTACTTGGAGCGCTGGGAGTTATTAATAAAGAGAGTATATGGAACACAGAACATTGCTATGAGAGGTTGCAAGCTTCAAGAGATGAGATCACAGTGAAAGTGAAAGAGATGAGATCACAGATTGAATGGTGCAAGAGACCTCAGGTCACAAAGTACGAAAAACTGCAAGAAATGAGAGACCACAGATAGCAAGTTACAAGAGACCACAGACTACAGGGTATGAGGCGCCACAATGTTTGGCGAAATCGCCCCGAAATCGTTTGGTGTTTGGCAATCGCCCCGAAATCATCTCAAGATCATCTCAAGATAACCCACTTGCCCACAACTTAGATGCCAGTCACACTTTGCCTCGAGTACCTATGTTGAATAAGTTTGGTTTACTTAGTAATATGACTTGTTATGACTTGTGCTTTAACATAACCTAATTAAATGATGACTAATTTATGGTGATTATGTAATGTTGTATATTATGTGTTAGGTAGATAATTTTTCCCCAGTAATATGGTGGTTTTACTTAGACTTTTACTCTACCCTAGACCTTCTATTTGAATTACTTGAGGCCAGGATTTTCACTTATTAAATGGGGAAAGTTCTCCACCCTGAGCCTTACTTGGGAATCATAACATAAAACCCCTTTTAAAAGTAAATACTCAGGATCTTACTAAATTAAACAATGTAAGAATAACAATAACTGTGTTCTAGAAACTCCTGACCAGCGCTGCAAGAAACATCTTTGCCATGCAAATCTACTGAAGCAGTATCAAAGTAATCCATAAATGGCATTGTGTTCTGGTTAACAATTCAAAGATAATTATCCTATGAGTGACTCCTACCTTGCCAACACTACCATGGATTGTGATAATAGTGACCCAGTGCTATTTAAATTTGAAATCCTAAATGATCTATCAACTTATTTCAAAAGCTCTGATACCGATTCGGGTGCTCTGATTGCTAAGTTTTTCAACACTCATAATAAGCTGTTCCAAAACACTCCCCGTGAATGCATTATAGTCCTGTATGACATCCAGCTGCACCCTGACATCGTTCCAATCAAACAGCCTTTCTACCACATCGGTCTGCAGAAGAGGGAAGCGATGCAATGAGAAGTACAGTACCTCATTATTCACGGACTAGCAACATTATGTGGATCCCCTTGGGCTTCACCCTGCATCCTCGTACATAAACCTCACATGGTAAGACTGAGCAAAGGACAATCGCAAATTAAATTTGTCTGTCAGAGTCAAAGACCGTTGCCACGCATCGACGGAATTCATGTCACTGGAAATGCCAAGTTCCAGTCTCAAATAGACTTCTTAAAAGGCTATTACCAGACAGGATTAACGGAATGTACAATGCATATATCTGCCTTAATTACTCCCTTCGGCCTCTTCAGGTATGAACGCTTGCGTTTTGGACTGCAATGCACCAGATACATCCCAGTGGGCAGTCACCTTAATCATCCAAAATCTTGGTGATTTTGGATGATTTAATCTACCTACATCTACCTGGACATCATTGTTGCTACTGACAACTGGGAACAACATCTACACCAGTTACAACAACTCTTCGACAAGTTTCTCCATGCCGGTCTCATCATTAACCACGGCAAGTCCACCTTTGCTAAATGTTAAGTAAAATACCTTGGTCATATCACAGGCAGTACTGCACTTAAGCATCCATCAAGAAGTAATTCACCAGCATCCACAGCCATCTACATGTAAACAAGTGATGACATCTAGTAGGACTAGCACCTTTTTATAGAAGATTTTGTAAAAACTTCAGTGCAGGTGGTACCCACTTAATTAACCTCACCAGCAAACACACACAAAAATTTCGACCACCTCCCAAGCCACCGTTTTCAACCAACTGAAAATATTATTGTGTTCTAATCCCATTGTTGCCTCGCCAGATTTGAACAGCCCTTCATTCTTCATGTCTATGCCAGTAGTATGGGCGTCCGGGGCATACTGATGCAACACAGAAATGGAGAAGTTCAGCTTGTCGGCTACTACAACTAAAACTGAAACCACATCAACAGAACTACAGCATCATTGAGAAATAATTATTAGCCATTGTTACAGTATCAACACCATTGCTGGAGTGAGGAATGGCGATTTCGGCGCCATCTATGGACTTGCACTCCAACCCCAAGGCATTAAATGAAACGCAGACAACGCCATCTGTTGGCAGAGGTGTGCATCTGTGAAAGGCTCCTGTTTCATACCTTACTTAGGAGGTGAGGTTGATGATGACGACCTCTGGTGAGTGATGTAAAGATATAACACCACCTAGATTGTGCATTCAATTACAATTCCAGTTCCCTGGAGAAAGGTTGGCACCCGTTGTTCTCCCAGTATGCTTTCTGTCTGGCTAATGACTTGTATGTTCACAGAGGTGACGTGAAGAGTTTATTGTGCTGTGGAAAGCAGTTAACCTTGGGCAGTCTCGAACTCCTGACGTGTTCCTGTGAGGACAAGTGGCCGCCGTTGGTAGTAAGGTGTGTGTTAGCTGTTGTACTTCTTCAATGTTGTGTGGACCAACGTACCCGGGACTTGGCCAAGAGGAGTTGTAAGACGACAGTAGTGACCATCTGCATAGAAGTGCTGCTATTGTGTTGCTAGAGACGTGTGCCAGGGTGTTAGTGACCCATGTCAGCGTGTTGCTGAAGCCCCTGTGCCAGTGTGTTTCTGGAGAACAGATGTGTGAAGAGCAGAGGTGCCATAGGCACAATCAGAGAACACTGTATAAACATCAGAGGTCCGCGGTTGTTCAACGTCCTCCCAGCAAGCATAAGAAATATTGCCGGAACAACCGTGGACATTTTCAAGAGGAAACTAGATTTATTCCTCCAAGGAGTGCCGGACCAACCGGGCTGTGGTGGGTATGTGGGCCTGCGGGCCGCTCCAAGCAACAGCCTAGTGGACCAAGCTCTCACAAGTCAAGCCTGGCCTCGGGCCGGGCTTGGGGAATAGAAGAACTCCCAGAACCCCACCAACCAGGTATCAACCAGGGGTATTTGGACATTGTGACGATGCAGTGTGTGGACTGGCCCATGTTGAGGAAGGTGAACTCACTGGAGATTACCATTGAACGTGGACGACGTATACTTGAAGATAGCGGACTCGCCGGGTTTTGACGAACACTGCACATATATTAAGTGTCCTGGGTGAAGGCGACACTGTGTACATAAGTGTACTTATACTTATGTAAATAATATATTGGTAAAGGTGTAATTGCGTCTTGTTTACCTCTCTTTATTCCTTGCACTATGACTTGCGACCGCCAATTCTCGAGAACTTGCAATTGGCTTGGGGTAGGATCGTAGAAAAAGCTATAAGGCACATTAAGCAAAAAGAACCCGGTTCCTGGCTCGAGAAGCCGTAGCAGCCATAGTTCTATGTCTTCAGCAGTATGAAACATATCTTCAGGGTATGTTTTAACCTGAAAATTCTTGAATATTATATCAAGAAACATGTATATAGTGTAAATACGTTTCGCACATGTGTCCTGACCGAGTGAAACGGCCCCTCCACGAATTATTCAGAGTTGTCTACTCCCCCCCCAGACCCCCAGGTACAAGCACTCACCAATACCATAGAGTCTGGCTCGAAGGCAGTATTACTTGTGACCCCTGACGGTTTGTTGCTGGAGCCCTCTGCCAGTGTGTTTCTGGAGAGCAGATGTGGGGTATTTGGACATAGTGCCAATACGGTGTGGGACGGGCCCTTGTTGAATAGGGTGAACTCGCCGGTGATGACCATTGAACATAAACGACTTAAACTTGAAGATATTGGACTCATCGGGATTTGAAGAACACTGCTGATATTAAGTATCCTGTGCGAAAGAGACACTGTGTACATATGTGTAGCTATATGAAATAGAAAATATATTGGTGAAGTTGTTATTTAGTCTAGTTTACCCCCCCCCCCTCCCTCACTTTATTCCTTGTACGAGTACTTGCTACCGACAATTCTATATAACTTACCATTTGACTTGGGATGGGATCACAGAAGAAGAGGCTCTAAGGTCCCATAAGCAGAAAGAACCCGGGTTACTGGCTCAAGCAGGCCGTGACTGTGGGACTCTGTCTAAAACATTTTTAAGATACAAATAAACACAGTCCATCCAACCATCTTTCCTGTAGTATCTCTGTGGCTTCATATATATAAACTAAGTAGATTTGCTACACAGGATCTTCCTGTTCGAAACCCATATACTGTCTGTCCGTTATTATTTTATTGCTTTACCCATTTGTTTTCAACTTTGCCTGGGTGGATCCTGGCAAAATAGTCCA